CAGCCCAGAATCGAACATGGCTGAATCTAACAGACAGAACATCAGCAACCGAGCAACGACGCCCTATCAATCGCTACGTGCGCGCCGAGGTCAGGCTGGCCACAGGAAACAGAGGCGCAGCAGCGACCGATTGGATGACATATCAAACGTGACAGGCGTCACGACGTAACGCTGGCCCGTCCAGAGCAGAACAGAAAGCAATCCAATTCAATAGAAGGGAACATACCTTAACATAGCACAGTTGAAGACTGCCGAATACAGCATCGACCAATTAACGGTGCCCTATGGGCTGCAACATGAGAGCCGACGTAAGTCTGACCGCAGGAGTTCACCATATATGAACATAATGGAACGGAACCGAACAGAACGTGATAGAACAGACTCTACCAACGACTAATCAACAGCGTCTGATCAAACGCGACATGCGCGCTGAGCTCGGGCTCGCCATCGCAACAACAAATACCATATTCGGGAACAAACGCCGACGGTTTCGGTGTGGATCGTTCGAAGCAAAATGATTGGTGTCTTCGACAAAGGCGTAGACAAATTCTCAGAAGGCTAGAGGCCTTCCGAGTCTTCTTGAGACCGGTACGACCGACGTGGGTACGGAAATGAATGGGTACGAAGACCGACCGCAGTGCTTTCTCGTTCAGAAGAGGATTTGCTGCTGGTGCCGCCGCGGGCCGTAACCATTCGAGACGGGCAGGCGGCTGCCCAGCAGCGGCCGCTGCTGGTTCTGGGACAACACGCGTTGTGTGGCAGCGTGTGCTTTGCTGTTTCCCGTGCCCATCTCGGATGGTCGATCGTGGCGAGCCCACCGGGCTCGCCGCCGACGGATCTCCCCCGCCTGTCTCAGGAGGGGAAAAACACAGACACAATTAATCGTCGATCCCCAGGAAAAGATGTGGGAAAACATAGACAGTGGGGGGAAGACGAAGACCCCGAAGACATGGGAAAGTATAGGGGAAGCTTGGGCTTTGTGCATATTTCTTTGTGTGTCCCTCTAGGCCTCCTAGGTGGGGTCCGAGTAGATGGGGTCGGAGGATCGCGCCGCATCGTCGATGCATCGACGATGCGGCTCGATGTGGAGCTCGATTTTCCCCACGCCGACGTCGCGGATGCGTCGCCGACGTTGCCGATGCATCGCCGATGCATCGGCGATGCATTGGCGATGCGGCGCGATCCTTCGACCCCGTCTACTCGGACCCCATATATGAGGCCTCTAGTCCCTGGGCTCCCTCCCTGCCTCGGGAAATTTGGGAAAATGTGTGAAAATATGGGGGATCCTATTTTTTGTGTGTATTTGTTTGTGTGTCCCAGGGCCCCCTCACTGCCGCACCCCCTCGCCCGCCGTCTCTGGTGGACGCCCCGCGGTGCTCGCGCGGCGCGGCCGGCGGCGGGGCCCTTCGGAGAGCGGACGCCGCTATCCGCGTGCCCGGAGATTCTCGGGCGAGCGCCGGAGGAGCGAGGAGGAGGAGCTAGGAGGAGGAGGAGGAGGAGGAGGAGGAGGAGGAGGAGGAGGAGGAGGAGGAGGAGGAGGAGGAGCAGCAGGAGGAGGAGCAGGAGGAGCGAGGAGCAGCTGGGAGGAGGAGGAGCGAGGATGAGATAGGAGGAGGAGGAAGAGGAGCGATGAGGAGGAGGAGGAGGAGGAGGAGGAGGAGCGAGGAGCGGGGAGCGAGGAGGAGCTAGGAGGAGGAGGAGCGAGGAGGAGGAAGCATGAGGAGGGAGTCCCATGCCAAGAAACGCCCTGCTTGCCTCCAGGGTGCCCTGGGGGTCTTGGGTTTCGACGGTGTTGCGATTGGGAGCGCGACGTCCCCACACCAGAAACCAATGGGCGTCCTGGGGTCTCAGGGTTGGGTTTCTTGCGGCAGGTTTCTTGTGGACTGGCCTCCATTGTACAGCTACCCAGCTACCCTTCCATAGGTTTCCCCTTTTTGGGGCTTCCTGGGAGGCCCTCGTCGGCCTCCCAGATGGTGTCGGAGCAGATGGGGTCGGAGGATCGCTCCGCATCGCCGATGCATCGACGATGCGATTCCATGTGGAGCCCAATGTTCCCCCCCCGACCGTCGCCGATGGCAGAGGATGAAGAGGCCGATACCGCTGCCCTTCCATAGTTTTCCCCTTGTTGGGCGGCCTGGGAGGCCCTCGTCGCCACCGCTGGCTTCGTCTCGCTGCGCGTATCCCCACCAGCTGGCCTGATTGATGGTTGTCTGCAAGTGCCATACGCTAAGGCTCCCCTCGCTGCCGGTGGTCATTCTGTGGTCGTCTCGCCTCTCGCAACATTCCATCTGATCGCATTGGTTTGGGTACGTTGAGTTCTATTACAAGTACTGGCAGTTCGACAAAGGGCGGTCGACTACTACTTGGTCTAAGTTTGAGCTGCGGTTTGCTTTCTGTCTTTCTGTCATGTTTTCCTTTCCTCTTCGCTCTTCCGCTCTTTTCGTGTGTCCTTCGTTTTTTTCCCCGCCGCGATGTTGCCCTCTCGCTGCCCTTCTCCAGCGTCCCAGTTGTGGCTGCTCGGCTCGCGTCTTGCTGTTGACCTTCTCGACGCTGCGCGGTCGGCTCCGCGTCGCGCGCGATTTTTCTTTTGAAAAAAAATATCCCCGCCAACCCATCCGGAAGAAGATCGCAAGGCGAGTTGCCTTGACCAGGGAAGTGCAGAAGGGCGCATTGCAACAACCAGCTCGGACCATCCGTGAAGTTGCATCGAAATTTTGAAGCAGATGCGCGCGACGTTAAGGCGAGATTATATATTGATCAGAGCCCTCCTTCCATCCGTGACATTGTTGCGAATTTTTGAAAACGAATGTGCGCAGTTTTGCGGCGAGAGCCATATAATGTAAATTCAGGGGCCAAATAAACTTCCGGGGGCGGAAGTGATGAATTTTCGCAGGAAAGAGGGGGGGTCGATAATTGTTTCCCAAGGTTAGCGGTTCGGTTGATGTCCTTTCACCGCTTGTTGTCTTGATTGTACACCAGGTGTCAGAGATTCTCGATGCTATCCCGATTCGGTGTTTGTCCGTGGCGCGAAGGTGATGGCCCAGTTAGAACGCGGAGGGTCTTTTTGGAACGCACCAGCCTTTTTAGAAGGCCTGGCTGTTTTTTGAGGGGCGTCTCAGAAGCCGGGCGGGTTTCTAAGAACCTTTTGGTTTTCTTGGAGCATCAGCCGTTTGTAATTTGGGTTGTTGTTCTAGGCGAACACGAGATGAACAAGTCAGGCGTACCCTTCCAAACGGGACCGTGTGATCGGATGTTTTGGGCCGAGACCCAGTTGCTGCGTCGTGGCAGCGACAGGACCACCGCAAGAAAAAATGAACCAGTACTTTTCTGTTCTTCCCTTTTCCTCCTATGAATGGGCACCGGGCCAGAGGGAATTTCAGAACCCCACCCCCATGGCGCCAGCCCATTGTGGGCGTTGCATTCCGTTTTACCCCCGAGAAGACAGTGGGAAAATCCCCCAGCGGCGGTGCAGCAATCGCAAGACGCCGAGAGAGAAAACAACGATGGCGCCCCGAACGCCTCCGTGTACGAGGCGGGTTCGTGCGAGGGCTTCTACTCGGCGGGGTCGGACATGCCGCCACGAGGAGGAGGAGGAGGAGGAGGAGGAGGTGTAGGTGGAAGAGGAGGAGGAGGAGGAGGACGAGGAGCAGGAGGAGGAGGGAGGAGGAGGAGGAGGAGGAGGAGTGGGAGTAGGACGAGGACGAGGAGGAGGCGGAGGAGGAGGGAGGAGGAGGAGGTGGAGGAAGGTAGCAGGGGAGGAAGGAGGAGGAGGAGGAGGAGGAGAGACGAACGCGGAGGAGGCGGAGTTGGTGAGGAGGCTCCCCCTTCCCACCCCCCCGTCCTCCCCAGTCCTCCTCCCTCCTCCCTCCCTCCCCCCCTCTCCCTCCCCTCCCCTCCCCTCCGCCCTCCGCCGCCCTCCCTCCCTCCCTCCCTGCCCCCTCCCTCCCTCCCCCCGCCTCCCTCTCTGTGGCCCACGCCTGCCCTGGCCTTCGAGCGCCGGCACGGGCCCGGGCCGCCCCCAGCCCGGCGCGCGGGGCGCTGTCATGGAGGAGGAGCTTCTGCAGCGGCCGCTCGTCGTCGTCGTCGTCCTTCTCCTCCTCCTCCTCCTCCTCCTCCTCCTCCTCCTCCTCCTCCTCCTCCTCCTCCTCCTCGTCGTTCTTGCCGTTCTCGTCGTCCTGATCGTCCTCGTCGGCCTCGTCGTCCTCGTTGTCCTCGTCCTTCCGTCTTCGTCCTCGTCGTCCTTGTCGTCCTCGCCAGCCTCGTCATCCTCGTCGTCCTCGTCGGAGGCGGAGGCACGAGGAGGAGGAGGAGGACGACGTCGACGGAGGATGAGGAGGAGGAGGAGGAGGAGGAGGAGGAGGAGGAAGGGGGGGCAACGTTAGGGGGTGATGCGTAGGCTCAGGGGGAGCGATGCAAGCCCAGACATGCTCGCATCGGGACACAAATCCCGACGGGAGATCTTCGGCCGTCTTGGGCCTCTGGGGGCCTTCGCTGGGCCCCGGGGCCGCCAAGAAGCGGCTCAGGATAAGAAGCCATCCTCGGGGGAAGGGTCGGGATTCCGCTCGAACAACAAATTGTGCATCGACCTGGACGTTCGGAGGTCCGCGCTGGTTTCTTGGATCGGCGCTGGATCCTTCCTGTGGCGTGCGGAGCGCGCCGGGGGAGGCTCCAGAGGTGCCGCCAGGAGGCTCCAGCGCCGATCCGAGCAATCCGCGCGGGCCTCTGACAAGTTGTGCTTGTGTCATGCTGTTTTCCCCGATTCGTGGGACCCTGTACTGTCAAAAGCCCTAATAAGGACGCGCGACTCTGCTCAGGGTACCCTTGCGTCCTTGCTCTTCCTTGCTCTTGCGTTCTTGGGGTTTTCGTCGTCCGCCGCCCCAAAAATCCCAACTTCGGCTTCCAAGGGTCTTGCGTCCTTACCGCGCGTCCTTATTCGGGTTTTTGACCGTGTTCAAAAAGATGGAGCCCTCGGACGTCTGGCTGCGAAAGCCGCCGCCGTCGGAGGAGCTCCTGCAGCGCCTGCTGGCGGACGACGCGGCCGCGGAGGGGGCGCGCGGGGCCGGCGACCATGCGGGCGCCAGGGGGGCGGGTGGTGTTCGGGGAGGTTCGGTAGCAGGTCATGCGAGCCGTGTTCGGGCCGGACGACAGGGGGGGATTGAGAAAGAGGGGGTTACGAAATCTGCTGCATGCAGCTGGTCTCGGCCCCACCGAGGGGCCCACTCCTCGATGCATGGCCGCCTCCGTCGCCGGGAGGCGCCGGGAAAATCAGCTGCGTGAGCTGATGCTCAACCCCCCCTTTGCTATCCCCCCCTTTCGCCCGACCCGACTTGTGTACCCTCGCGATTCTGTCTTTCGCGTCGATCAGCGTCTGGGAGTCGGTGAGATAGCGCCGATTTGGCGTCGGTTCGCGTCGCTTTAGCATCGATTCAGCGTCGACTAGGGTTGATTCGCAAGAGCCGACAAGATGGCATGGGAGGCTCTCATGAGTAGCCACCGAAGGGATGTCCAGGATGCGGAGTCTCGCCCGTCGAATCCCTCCCGCACCAGCATGCCTGGACCGGGGAATCGTCCGTCGAGTCCCTCCCGCACCTCGCATGCTGGATCGGGGGATCGTGCGTCGGGTCCCTCCCGCACCTCGCATGCTGGATCGGGGAATCGTGTGTCGAGTCCCGTCATTTGAGGAAGGTCAGACGTCATCACAATCGTGGGACCTGAAACGAAAACCTCTGTCCGGGGGTGGCTGACAGTGCCCTGGTCCAAGGTGCTTCCAGTATTTCGCTCAACAGTTTCGGCGTCCGCCCCCATCTTTCCCCTCGGACAGCCTGGCCCACGCAGCCTGCTGGCCCCCAAGAGGGCTGGCGGAATTGAGAAAGTCGTGGGCGAGAGCTCGATGTTCAAAAGGATGTCCCATCCATGCGTGTAGCTGCTGCGCAAGTGGGGGGTTCGGGTCACAGAGTTTGAGGAAGTATCAAACGAGACCCGATTGCGTAACCGAGCCAGCTTCCATCCCTGTAACCGCTGCAAGCTTTTAGGACGAATGCGCGCGGCGTCAAGACGAACCTTCCATTTTCAAAGTCATTTTGTCTCCACCCGCGTGACAGTGAAGCCTTTTCAGCTTCAGGATCGCAAGGAAATCTCAAGCGAAACCCCTGGGTTTGGCCTACACACACTTCCTCTGGTGTGACATGGGGGAGCTGGTTCGAGGGACGAGGGGTGGAGGAGCAAAACAGTATGCAGAGAGGAACAGCACGTGCGGGTTTTGCCCGCCTCCGCTGACGGGGTGCTCCGCCGGGCCATCGTCCCGCGCGGGTTTGTGCGCAGCGGAGCGCGCACGCGCGACGCGCTGGCAGGGCTGCGGCGCCATTTCGCCCGCGCGGGCGGTCCACGGCCGCGAGTTGCGCCGCAGGCCTGGGGCCCAGGGGGGGCCGATGACCCGGCCGCCGCGCCGCAGGGGTCTGGGGTTTGGCTTGGGGGCCGCCATCGTCGTGGCAGGCATCGCGGCGGACGGCTTTGGGCCCTTCGTCGGCGTTTGGGGGCCTTGCCGGGCCCTGGGACCGCCACAAGTCCGTTCGGAATGAAAAAAGTCGCCCCTGGAGGGAGGGTCTGGACTTGTTGGGACCGCGCATTGAAAACATCAAGAAGTTATGTCTTCGGGCAGCAATCAGTCACGAGCTGCGAATGTATCCTGATGCGCTCCTTCGTTTTTGTTTTTTATGGGCGCGGTCCCGTGGATGGGCGGTTGCATGGGCGCGTTCTGCGCGGGGCGTCCGCGAAAACGCTCATCGTATCTATTGGTTGGCGGCCCAGGGGCGCTGCCCGGCCCCGTCTGTTTGCGTTGCCTCGCAGATGCCCCGCGGTTGCCCCGCGGTTGTCCCGCTGGTGGTCCCGATGGTTGTTCCGATGGCTGTCCTGATGGTTGCCGCGATGGCTGTCCCGATGGTTGTCCCGATGGTTGTCCCGACGGTTGCTCATGGTTGTCCCGATGGTTGTCCCGACGGTTGTCCCGGTCGTTGTCCGATGGTTGTCCCGACGGTTGTTTCGGTGGTTGTCCCGACGGTTGTCCTGGGGATAGATTGGTAGGTACGTGTACGATTCATAATCGTGGAGATGGAAGACTGACTGAGCAGGAGGACGACGAGGAGGAGGAGGCGGAAACCAACTGGGTCCGGCCGGTTCCCGCCGAGTTCCCGGGTGTGCCGAGACTAGAAATCCTGGCTGGCGCAACCTCTCTCCCCAGGGAGCAGGCCGCTGGTTGGTTGCGCGGCGCTCTTGCCTGGCGCTAGCCATCGGCGGAGGGCCTTGGGGGCGGGTGCTTGGAATTGGGGGTTGCGCTGGCACACGCCCAATGTGCGCGCGGACTGCGGCCCCCGCCGCTGGAAAGAAGAGGAGGAGGAGGGAAAAGGAGGAGGAGGAGGAGGAGGAAGAAGAGAAGGAAGAAGAAGAGGAGGAGGAGGAGGAGGAGGACGAGGACGAGGAAGACGAGGAGGACGAGGAAGACGAGGAGGACGAGGAGGAGGATGAGGGAGGAGGAGGAGGAGGAGGAGGCTTCCAGAGGTCTCGGGAGGGGTCTCGCTGGAGCTCCGTCCCAGGCGCCCAGGAGCCGGAGCCGAAAATACGACCCCGTGCCGTGTGGCCGGCGGCGGCGCCGTCGCCGGCGGCAGCGTCGTCGTCGTCGCAGGCGCTCGCGAGGCAGCCGGCCGCATGGAGCGGGCGCTGCCCGAGCTGCGGGCGGCCTGCGCGGGCTGCGGCGACGCCGCGCGGCGCGCGGAGCTCGGCCGGCACCTCGAGGCGCTGGAGCGCCGCGCCGCGGCCCACGGCGCCTGCCTGGAGGCGGAGCGCGCGGAGGCGGAGCGGGCGCCGTCGTCGCAGCAGTCTTGCAGGTCAGTCGTTTATCCGACCCGCATCTCCGTCCCCATCCCCTTCGAGACCCCCACCAAGAGACCCCCACCAAAGTATCCCCCCAGCTGGGGCCACACCCCTCGAAGCCTGAAGGGAACGACCTATATCCCAATCTAGGGGGGTAAATCGTCCAGTGGGGCCCAGGCCACGCCGCTGGGGATGGGGATCGGTTAAATGATACTCAGCAGAGTCGGGGCCCCAGGGACTGGAAGGAAACAGAAAAAACACCAGAGACATAAGCTTTTGGTGCTCCGCGGATTTCTGGGATCCACGCGCGGCCCCTCCCGGCGGCGCCTCCGGCGCCGACCCTGGCGCGGGGGACCAGCGCGGATCTAAGAAATTCGCGCGGAGCGCCCAGCATTTATGTTAATGGCGTTTTTTCTTCTTCTAGAGAAGAGGGTCGATGCAGATGGGGGTCTGTCAGAGCGCCGGATTCTGACCCGGGCTTGTTTTGCAGGATCTTGCAGGATTTGGCAGGATCCTGCAGAGCTTGACGGGCCCGGGTTTGCATTGATCCGTGTCAGTGCATCCCCAGTAAAGGAGGAGAATATTCGAAAACGCGGATTTCTTGGATTGGCGGCGCATCTGGCGCCGCCCTTAGCGCGCTCAGCGCGCCGGGGAGGGCTGCGCAGCGCCGATCCCGAATATCTGCGCGGACTTCCCAATGTTTATGTTCATGCCACTGCTCGTTCCTCCAAGCACGCCGACGCCGCCGCTCGTCCTGGAGAGTCCTCGTCGCCACGGCCGGCTTTCTCCTCAGAACCCCGGTCAGAGCTCACCTCGTAGGAAACAAACAATGACATAAACATAACAGCTCGGAGGTCCGCGCAGATTTCTCGGATCAGCGTTGGACCCCCTCCCTGGCGCGCGGAGCGCGTCAGGGGCGGCGCCGGAGGCGCCGCCAGGGGTCTCCAGCGCCGATCCGAGAAATCTGCGCGTACCTCAGAGTTCTTATGTTTATGTCATTGTTCGTTCCTCTAACTTCAGAAGAGGTCCGTGGGGTGGCGGCATCGGCATCGGTCTTCTCGTTCCCCCAGGTTGTGAGTAGCGCAGTTGTGAGAACCGTCGTCGGTGGAGCTCCCTATGGGGCCACGAAACGCGTGAGGGGTGTGCCGAAAAGATGGTGACGACCGCATGCGAACTGTGCCACTGGGGCCTTAGGTGGAGCTCCCTATGGGGCAACGAAACGTGTGAGGGGTGTGCCAAAATGGGGCGGCGCCACCATGCGGACCCTGCCACTGGGACCTTCGATGGAGCTGGTGTTTGCCGAAACGGATGATGATGATGATGATGATGATGATGATGATGATGATGATGATGATGATGATGATGATGGTGATGGTGATGGTGATGGTGATGGTGATGGTGATGGTGATGGTGATGGTGATGGTGATGGTGATGGTGATGGTGATGATGCTGATGCTGATGCTGATGATCATGATGATCATGATGATCATGATGATCATGATGATCATGACGATGATGGTGATGGTGATGGTGATGGTGATGATGATGATGATGATGATGCTGATGCTGATGCTGATGCTGATGCTGATGCTGATGATGGTGATGGTGATGGTGATGGTGATGGTGATGGTGATGGTGATGATGATGATGACGATGACGATGACGATGATGATGGTGATGATGATGATGATGATGATGATGATGCTGATGCTGATGCTGATGCTGATGTTGATGCTGATAATGATGATGCTGACGATGCTGATGATGATGCTGCTGATGACGATGATGGTGATGATGATGCTGATGGAGGAGAGGGAGGAGGAGAGGAGGAGGGAGAGGAGAGAAACGCGGGGCGCTGTCTCTTCAAAACAGGGACCCAACACCACAGGACGGTCAGGAACTAGCCTGGGGATGATGTGTCGACTATATTTGATGATGGTTTGGTATTTTCGTTTGACTACTGCTTGTTTTTCTTCCACAGCCTGCCTGTAGGAGGTCATCCGACGGGGTGTGCAGAGATCCGCGCTTCCCGCATCGCGCTTCTTCCACGGGTGCGGCGCGCAGGCGCGAAGGTCACCGCCCGTCGCGCCCCGCGGGGCGTAAGGCGGGGGAATAGCTGACCTAAATCACCTCCGCCTCCTCCTTCTCCTCCTCCTCCTCCTCCTCCTCCTCCCCCTCCTCCTCCTCCCCCTCCTCCTCCTCCCCCTCCTCCTCCTCCTCCTCGTCCTCCTCCTCCTCCTCCTCCTCCTCATCCTCCTCCCATCGCCGCCGCCGCCGCCGCCAGGCGGAGCGGGCGCGACTGCTCGACGCGCCACAGGCCGACAAGGCTGCCAGGAGCGGGCGGCACGCCAAAGGGGTGGCGGCCAGCGGCGCGCCAAGGGGGGGAAGTTCAGGGTTGGTCGGCGGCGCGGAGAGGGATAATCGTCGGCGCGGCCGTCCGTTCAGAACACGGGGCAGGGATCCACGCGAGAGGATCCACACGAGAGGATCAACACACACACACACACACAAACACAAACGCGCACACACCACAGCAGCAACAGCAGCAGCAGCAGCAGCAGCAGGAGCAGTTGCAGCAACAGCAGCAGCAGCAGCAGCAACAACACCATCTCCAACAACAACGACAACAACAACAACAAGACAATCATTGTAAGAATGTTCGTCCTTATCTGCTCGAGTGTCCAATAACGCGTATTTCCCAAACCCTCGATACCCGCCCTCTTCGTCTTCGATCGTGGGGGGTATACCGTTCTTCCCTGCTGGCCGGGCCCCGGCAAGCGGCGGGGCGGCCGCGGACCGTCGGCCTGGCCAGCGGCAGCGCCGATCGGCGGGGCGGCCGCGGACCGTCGACCCGACCCCAAGAGGGACTGACAGAGGACCGACCACGACGAAGACGACGACGACGACGTCGACGACGACGGCGACGACGACGACGACGACGGCGACGACGACGACGAGCGAAAGCGAGAGCGAGAGAGAACGACAGCAGGGCCACGAAGGACACGAAGTAGGCCACGAAGGGCGACAGCGGGGATACGAAAGGAATGCGTATGGGGCCACGAAGATCGCGAACGAGCGGGGGCCACGACGGGCAGATAATGCGGGGCCACAGGAGACAACGATGGGGCCACTGAGGGTAGCAACTGGGCCACGTAGGACAGTGTCGGGGCCACAAACGGCGACATCGGGGCACAACGGGCGCGAACAAGCGGGGGCCACGAACGGCATACGTATGTTGGGCCGCGGAGGGCTAGGGGCCACTGAGGGCAGCAACGGGGCCACGAGGGGCAGCGAGGGGGCCACGAAGGGCGACAGCGGGTCCACGAAGGGCATGCGTATGGGGCCACCACGGGCGCGAACGAGCGGGGGCCACGAAGGGCACACATATATGGGGCCACGAAGGGCTGCAACGGGGCCACGAAGGGCTGCAACGGGGCCACGAAAGGCAGCGAGGGGGCCACGAAGGGCTGCAACGGGGCCACGAAACAAAGCGAGAGGGCCACGAAGGGCTGCAACGGGGCCACGAAACAAAGCGAGGGGGCCACGAAGGTCAGCGAGGAGGCCACGAAACAAAGCGAGGGGGCCACGAAGGTCAGCGAGGAGGCCACGAAACAAAGCGAGGGGGCCGCGAAGGTCAGCGAGGAGGCCACGAGGGGCTGCAACGGGGCCACGAAACAGGCCACGAAGGGCTGCAACGGGGCCACGGAACAAAGCGAGGGGGCCACGAAGGGCTGCAACGGGGCCACGAAGGGAAGCGATATCCCGATTTCAAGGTAATCTGCGAGGGAGTCCTAAGCGTGAGCGCGACTCCTGGGTGCCTGGGTGTCGGGAGCGCGGCGCCTGAGTAAATCGCAGGAAATTCCAACGCAAGGGCGCTATCCGCCAGTAAATCCCACCAGCCCTCTGGGCGTCGGTGGTTTAGAGCGTTTCCTCTTCCACCCCTCCTTCTTCCCCTTCGGGGAGGGGTTTACCCCTCCCCCTACCCCCTCCCCACTGACCTGGACAGGGGTTTCCGCGGCGCGTTGGAGCGCCCAAGATCGACCCCTGGGAGGGCTAAAATTCGACACCCCTCACGAGGATCGTGGCTCCTGAGGGGGGGACTGTAATTAGGGAACCCCCTTCGTTGACGATCTCCTCCAAGATGGCTCCGAGGCCCCCCAAGAGGCCCCAGGAGGCCCCCCAGAGACCCCCAAGAGGCCCCAAGAAACCCCCCAGAGGCACCCAAGAAGCGCCCAGGAGGCCCCAAGAAGCGCCCAGGAGGCCCCCAAAGGCCCCAAGAGGCCCCAAGAGGCCCCCAGGAGGCCCCAAAGAGGATCCCGAACGGCCCACAGAGGCCCCCCCGAGGCACCCAAGACGCCGAAAATTCCTTCAGGACGACCCTCTACTCGCCTGGGCGTCGTTTCTGGACGGGCTGGTGGGGATACGCGAAGCGTCTAGAATTGCAAGCAAGTCTCCAGCGAGAGCGCGACTCCAGAGCGGGGGAAAGCGCTTCCTCAATACACTGTTGTAAGGAAGTCCCAAGCGGGAGGGCGATTCCTGAATAAAATACGACGAAGTCTAATGCGGGGGCGGGGGTCCGGGCTAAAATGCAAGGAAATCTCAGGCGGGAGCCGTTGTTGTTGTTGTTGTTGTTGTTGTTGTTGTTGTTGTTGTTGTTGTTGTTGTAACCCGGGGGCCAGGGGCGCAGTCTGAGCATCAAGATTTTCCTTGTCAAAAAACAGGGTGCGAGCGTCGAAGGGCACACTTTGATTTAGAAAAACAGTATGCACCGGTGAGGGGGATCAACAATAATTATTTTCAGAAATGAGAGTTCAGCAACAATAGCAACACTAACAACATTAACAACAACAGCAACAACAACGACGACGACGACGACGACAACAACGACAGTAACAGCAGCAGCGACAGCACGGACGACGATAGCAACACAATAAACACGACGACCGATACATAAACAACACGCGCGCACGCACGCACGCACACAAACACAAGCACAACATACACACAACACACACACAACACACACACACACACGCACTTTTCGGTCGCCAGCGGGCAGGACATCTTTTCATACAGGTAACCAGCGCGCCCGAGGGGCCGGGCCAGCGAAGTTGAGGCGGCGCGCAGGCGAGCGCGGGCAGTCCGCTGGCCCTTCACGGGGCGGTCGGGCAGAAGCGGGGCCGGCGGAAGCCGAGGCGGCGGGCGAGGCAGCGACGAGCCGGGGGGCCTTGAGATCCTGGCGATCCCATTTTTTCGAGCCGGGGGTTTTCGCCGGGTCTTGGGACACTCACAGATCGACGCGGCTCGAAAAATGATGCGGAAAGATGGGGCCCGGGGCTCTGGGCGCGGATTTTCACGATGTTGCAATTTGTTCGCTACGTCGGATCTCAGGGAAGAGCCGGCCGGGGGGGAAGGCAGCAGCGGGCAAGGATCACGCCAGAGTTAGGCGGGCGGTGTCCAGGAGCCCAGCCAGCATGAGGCGGGCGAGCAGCGGCCGTTGCAGAAGCCAGGGCACAGGGGCTATGAGGGGGTGCTTCGGGGGCCAGGAGTCAAGAGCGGATTCGCCGCCCGTGAGTTCTTCAAGGTATGCCATCTCTTCTTGATTTTCGAGAGACTGCTACCTAATGGCTGAAGGCGTCGGGTTCCCATTGGGACCCTCGGCGCTGTCGGCAGTGCCCAGAACAGCACGCACAGACTCCGGGATGGAGGCCCCTATGAGCTGGAGACAGGGCCTCCGAAGCGCCCGCGGATCGTGCGGCCCTTCCTGAACTGTAGCTGGCGGCGTATAGCGTCCACGCACGCCCGGACTTCAGGCGTCTGAGATTCGCGGCGCTGCCAGCAGTTCCCGTAACAGCACCCATAGATTCAGAGATGGAGGCTTCTGCAGTGGAGGCCCATGCCAAGAAACACCCTGCTTGCCTCTAGGGTGCCCTGGGTTTCTTGGGTTTCGAGGGTTGGGCCATGGAGATCGCGACGCTCCCACCAAGGCGAGAACCACATTTTGAAAACCACCCGCCCTCAATCCGTGAACCTCTTGCAAATGTTTAAAACGAATGCGCGCCGCGCTAAGGCGAGGGCAACATTTTGAAAACCACCCGCCCTCAATCCGTGAACTTTTTGCAAATGTTTGAAACGCACGTGCGCCGCGCCAAAGCGAGAGCCACGTGTTGAAAACCACCCGCCCTCAATCCGTGAATTTCTTGCAAATGTTGAAAGCGAATGTGCGCCGCGCTAAGGCGAGAGCTACATTTTGAAAACGACCTGCCCTCCATCTGCGAAACTGTTGCCAATGTTTAAGCTTCAGAGTCAAAAACGGTGAGGAAGTCTCAGGCGAAGCGCCCGGCCCGCCCTCAACAATTTGCCTCAGGGTGCGGACAGGGAGAAGTAATTGTTGACGCTTCGCGAATCCCCACCAGCTTTGCATTTCTGTTTCCTACCTCGACTGGCGGTTCGTTGGCCACGGCCACCCTGGTGCCCACGCAGTCGGTCGAGGTTCGGTATCATGCATTCTCTCTCGGAGTTGTCCCTGGCCGTCGTTTATGTTCAGACTTTTGGCGCCTCCGATGGACTTGCATCTTTGCACGCTGGCAGTTCCACTCAGTTTCAGTCCCTCCAGCCTTCCACCTGCCGTTGGGCCGCTGCGTGAGGCCTCGGCCGGCGCGTAGCTGTTGCTTGCGCGTCGCCTCTGCCAAATTAGTCTCTGCGTAGCCCGCTCGGACCTGACTCGCCGCTGGCGCGCTCGCCCGCGGCCGCTGACTAAAAAGAATCCCCACCAGCCCATTCAGAAACGATGCCCAGAGGAATTACCTCGATCAGGGAAGTGGTCGGCACACAGAGGAAGCCATTATTAGACATCTTGGGATATCTTGAGCCATCTTGGAGGTCATTTTGGGCTCTCTCCCATGCGCTCTTGATCTCAATCAGTGCCCCCCCCCAAGAGGCCAACATGTGGCTAAAACCTCCGTGAAATCGTGAAATCACTGATTTGGCATTCTCGCCGAGGCGTCTTGGAGCATCTTGGGTGCCTCTGGGGGGTCTCTTGGGGCCTCTTGGGGGTCTCTTGGGGGCCTTCTGGGGGCCTCTTGGGGGCCTCTTGGAGCCATCTTGGGGCCATCTTGGGGCCATCTTGGGACCTCTTGGGACCTCCTGGGCGCTTCTTGGGGCCATCTTGGAGGAGATCGATCAAACAAGAGGGGAGCTTTAATTAGGGCCCCCCCCCCTCGGGAGGCCAAAATGGGCCAAAACCGTAGTAAAACTAATGAGTTTGGCTTCCTCGCCGAGGCCGTTTTGGACGCCCTGACACCTCGCGAGACCCTCCGTCCAGGTCCAGGGGAGGGGGCAGGGGGAGGGGTAAACTCCTCCCCGAAGGGGAAGAAGGAAGGGTGGAAGAGGAAACTCCTTAAAGCACCTACGCCCAGAGGGCTGGTCGGATTTAGAAGAAAAAGGAACGAAGGAGGAGGAGGAGGAGAAGGAGGAGGGGGAGGAGGAGGAGGAGGAGTGGAAGGAGGAGGAGGAGGAGGAGGAGAAGGAGGAGGAGAGAAAGGAGGAGCCGGCATCGGGGCCCGAAGGATCGGGGCCCGAGAGGGGCGGCGGGGAGGCAGGACGACGGGGGCGGAAGCGTCCGAGAGAAGGCAGGGGGGCTCCTCGGGGGCCAATAGAGGCGTCAGAGGGGGGTGAGCATCGTCCTCCTCCTCCTCCCTCCTCCCTCCTCCCTCCTTCATCCTTCCTCCTCCCTCCTCTTCCTCCTCCCTCCTCCCTCCTCTTCCTCCTCCCTCTGCCCTCTCCCTCCTCCTCCTCCTCGTCCTCCTCCTCTTCCTCCTCCTCTCCTCGGCTCCGCCCGAGTCGACCCAGTCCTATTCCTCTGTGCCGCCGATCCGAGGCGGCCCGATGCTGGAGACACCCTCGAGTCACGATAAAGTCACGACCGAAGGCTTTTTGGTAGCTTCGGCCTCTGGGGGCGCTCACCGGGCCTCGGGACCGTCGAAACACGACTCGGGATGAAAAGCCGGTCCTGGGGAATGGGTCGAGACCCGTCGGGGTCGACGCTGTGAAAAATCGTGACGTCGGGGTTCTGTGATGGTGGCCGTTCTTGTTACTCACTGTTTTGCCGATTGGCGCGGGCCCTCGCTCCCCCCTTCCCCCCCCCCAATGGAGTAGACCTTGGCTGTTTTTGGTGCCTGTTTCGAGCAGTTGGAGACTCCTCTCATAATCGGGCCCTCGCTCCCCCCTCCCCCCCCAATGGAGTAGATCTTGGCTGTTTTTGGTGCCTGTTTCGAGCAGGCGGAGTCTCCTCTCATAATTAGGACGCGCTCTCGCAAACAGTCGCACTAAGCAGAGGTCCAGAGCCAGACCCCCCCCTCTCCCCCCTCTTCGCTCAGTGTCGAAACGCCGAATAAGAAAACGCGCTGACATGTTCGCATGACTTCGGGGGTCGGTGCCGCCGATCCGGTGCGGCCCGATCCCTGCGACTCAATGTTTTCGAGCGGGACGTTTTCGCCCAAGGTCGGGCCCATCACTCTCACAGCTCGATCCGGCTCGAAGAATGACGCAGAAAGATTGGGGCTGGGGCTCCGGTCGTGATTTTCCACGATGCTCCATGTTTGTTCGAGGCGTCGGCTCTCAGGGATGTTCGCATGACGTCGCCGTGCTGCGGAGTGGCGCGAGCAGTTCGATGTGCTCTCGGCTTGGCCTTCCGATCCGAGGCCCGTTCTCGGACGTGGCCAGGACGAGGAGAAGTCCGTTCCAGAGCGTTCGGAACGCTCTCAGAGCGCTTTGGAACGCTCTGAGAAGGCCGCGGCGCCCGAGACGGGGTCTGCCAGAACCGCCAGATCTCAGAGATTCTCGACTTATCCGTACCCGATAGCATCCTCCTCCTGGCTTCGTCTTCGGTTCCGATCCGATGGGAGGAGGAGAAGGAGGAGGGGGAGGAGGAGGAGGGGGAGCAGGCGGAGGCGCGGAGGCTGAGGCGGAGGAGGACAAGGAGGGTGGGCGCCGACTGGAAGGCGTCCGCAGGGTAACGGACGCCCACAGGCTGAGGAGATGGCTGCCACCATAGGCAGCAGCGGCGTCGGCCGAGACCACGGAGAACCCGTCGTCATGGCCGAGGTCATTAATTTGTCAGAGTCATCAGAACTCCCATCCACCGCCCGCTCCACCCGAGCCTCCACCCTCCTGGGATCAGCCACCTCCATTCGGAGGGGATCCGAAGGCAGGTCAGGCACAGGGTCGGAAAAGGCGGCTCCGACCTCGGACAGAGCTTTGCCTGTGGTCGGATGTAGGGCCTTGGTGGCCTTGGCAATCTTTCGCAACTGCTTGTCACGGGTCGAGGGAATAGAAGATGGCCCTTTGCACGGAGTCTTCAAGGCTCGCTCGACCCCATGAGGCAGCACCAGATACCCAGCACACTTCGCACATATCATAAGTCGGTCAGTCCTCTGGGCCGAATGCCCACGCTCATTAAAGGAACGGATAGCTTCGGCCCCCGGAGGAGGAGGAGGCGGAGGAGGAGGAGGAGGAGGAGGAGGAGGAGGAAGAGGAGGAGGAGGAGGGAGGAGGAGGAGAAGGAGGAGGAGGAGGAGGAGGAGGAAGAGGAGGAGGAGGAGGAGGAGGAGGAGGGGGGAGGAGGAGGAGGAGGAGGGGAGGAGGAGGAGGAGGAGGAGGAGGGAGGAGGAGGAGGAGGGAGGAGGAGGAGGAGGAGGAGGAGGAGGAGGCTGGCTTTTTGCCTCCTGCGGCGCCCCTGGCCCGAGGAGGCGGCCCGCGGCCGCGTCGGAGGACGAGGCCCAGAGGGCGGAGACGGCGGAGCTCCTGAAGGCGCGCGACATGATGAGGAGCGGGCTGGAGCGGAGGGGCAGGATGCAGCAGTCAACCCGGATGTTCCTCCTCCTTGTGCTCCTCTTCCTCCTCCCCCTCCCCCTCCTCCTCCTCCCCCTCCTCCTCCCTCCTCCTCCTCTCCTCCCTCCTCCTCCTCCTCCTCCTCCTCCTCCCCTCCTCCTCCTCTTCCTCCTCCTCTCTCTCCTCCTCCTCCTCCTCCTCTTCTCCTCCTTCCTCCTCCTCATCCTCCTCCTCTCCTCCCCTCCTCCCTCCTCCCTCTCCTCCTCCTCCCTCCTCCTCCTCCTCTTCCTCTCCTCCTCCTCCTCCTCCTCCTCCTCTCCTTCTCCTCCTCCCCCTTCCTCCCCCTCCTCCTCCTCCTCGTCCTCCTCCTCTTCCTCCTCTTCCTCCAGGTAGCACGAGTGATCCCTCTTTCACCCCCCACCTTCCATATGTTGTGCATACACACACTCCGTTTACCGAATCTGGCGCAGCGGGCTGTTTCGGTTGGAGAGCCGCTGCGGTTCACTGATGTCTTTGCTTCGATATCTGCATTGGAATCCATTGAGTATGAACTTCAGTGACCGCCAGGAGGAGATTATTATGGCGATTGCCAAGAGCTTCCACGCGTGCGTCTTCATAGGAACACAAGTACGCGCACTTCCTGGCCAGGCTGTTCAAAAACGCAAGCTGCACAACACACTGTTGATCGAGGCGGGCTGGGTTCCTGGAGCTTATACAAATAAGCCGGCTGGCATTACTATTGCTATACGTTGCGATTTGAGAGAGCAGCACATCATACGGCAGCGGCAAGCAAACGGAGAGATTGCTGGCCGAGCTTCTGGCATACGTTTGAAAACGTGTCGGACTTGATTTTACTGCTGCTGGAGTTTACGTTCCTCCTCGGCCAAGGGGTCGCGCTGGTCGTCCGCACTATTTTGCAGCAACACATCGGCTGGTGTCTTGGCTCCGTGGTCTCCTGGTGGATATTTCTCGATCGTCACGCACGATGCCATTGATAAGTATGGATCTGAACGACGGCATTGGTCTTGTATGCTCGGACGGTCGTTGGCAAACCTGTGATACCACCGTCATTCCACCGCACCTGGCTACTCGTGAAAATATTTCAGGTGGCGCAGGGCAGTTGGCAAGGGAGCTGATGGAGGAGTTTCGTTTTGTTGTGCTGGGCGTGAGGGACCGCGTCGAGGACGCGTGGTTCGGACAGGACGGCGTTTCCAGTCGAGTCGATTACACATTCGGCCCAGTGGCAGCGCAGAACTTGATCAACACGGCGGGACCTTTGATGAGAGTAATGAGACAGCATCAACGTATACCTTCCTGACACCCTCGTGATCATATACCACTGCATTGTAACTTGAAGTGGTCTTTTGCTGAGCCCGAACAGTTGGAAAGACAACGATCCCATGGGAACTTCGATATTATGAAGAACGCCTCTATGCGAGAGCTGCTCCTCAACCGTGCTGCCGCCAAGTTGCAGGAGCGCGAGGCTGAGCTGACGTCGGCGGCCACGGCTGGACGCCCCGACGCGTATTTTTCTCGTCTGAATGATACTGTTCGCGAGCCAGCTGGAGAACTGCTCTGCGGTTCGTTGCCCAACGCGCCAGAGGCCTACCGCGAGCAGGCTCGTGCACGCAAGGCGTTTCTTCTTCGGCGGCTGGAGGTTCGCCGTCGCCTGACCCACGCTGGGCGCGATGTGGAGGGGGAGGTGGTTCAGGAGCTCAAGTTGATTAGCAAGCAGCGTCAGCAGCTGAGACAGCAGCAGCCCAGGGCGCGGAGAGAGAACATAACGGAGGATTTGGAGGCGGCTTGGCGAAAACGAAATCACAAAGAAGCCCATCGCTTAATCCGCGTTCTTGCCTGCAGGGGGGCGTGGACCCCGTGGTCGAAGCTATCGCCGTCTAGAAGGCGCATCCTTGAGTGCTCAGGAATGGCTTGAAGTTTGGGAGAGGGAGGGGCCACAAGGAGGCATGGAGGTTATCGAGGTGAACCAGGAGGTGGGGGAGTTGGAGGAGGGGCGAGTGGGAGTTCGGGCGTCTACCAGCATTGAAGCTGCGACGGATTTCTCGCCTATCTCTAAGTATCTACGGCATGCACCCAAGCGCAGATCGTGCCCTCCACGGAGTGTGCCAGCTGAGACCTGAGGCATGATCGCGGACCCACCTTCTGGCGCATCTAAGAGTTTTTCTGGAGTTGGATACTCCGTCGAGTTTCAACTTGAACCGTTGCAGGAGGCACTCGGGCGTGGTTTGCAGTGTATTCGCCTGGCCAACAGGTTCTCGACTTTGTGGAATAGGAGTTTCGGCTGCGCCCCGCCGAAGAGTGCCACGCCAGGCCCCAAGGGGAAACGTGTGATCCACCTGCTGGACCCGCTGGGCGAGGCTTGGCTCGCTGGAGCTATTCGTCGGAATAAACAGGTGCCTCTAGGTCCTAACGACTACTGTTTCTGCAAGGGGAGGAGGAAAGAGGGGGCTACGTTAGCTATGCTGGTGGTCTCTCATCGGCTGCGACGGGGAGGGTATAGTTTTACGTGGTCTAACAAGGATTTGGGCAACGCTTTTCCGAGTACATCCTGGAGCCCCTTGGAGGAGGCTAATTCTGCTCTATTAGATTTTCCTGATCGTCAGTTTGGACGCGATCGATTCGAGTCTTCTTCGATATGTCTCCCAGCCCGCGACCGCGCTCTCGTGGTGAAACCTCGGTGTGGAGCGCTCATGGGAGATCCTTATGCAGTCGAGAGCTTTGGCAGAGCCCATGAGATTCCCGTCTGTGAGTGGAGTGAGGCATTGCGCGCCCAGGTGCCTTCTGAGGCGCTTCTTGCAGCTGCTTGTCCGATTCCAGGCATGGTAGTGGATCTGTCTCTCACTAAGCATGCCGATGATCTCACGAAGCTGCATCTAGGAGGCGACCCCCCTGCCTCGTGCGGCGACGCTGGCTCGGCAGAGCTCTCTGCCGCCAATTTCTACTCGAATCAGGTCTTGGGCGAGGTTCTCGAGATCTGGGGGATGGGCGCAGACCGGGAGTAAGCAGAACAGTGTCGTCTGTCTCTCTGGCCAGGGCTCAGTGGCTGCAAATCGCCGTCTTCGAGCTTCTGCATCAGAACTGTTGGAAGGTGGGGCCCGCCCATCTACGAGGGTGCCGGGAGGGGGGGGGGGTATCATGCCATGGGCTCGACCACCCCAGAGGTCAATCAGCGCCTGAACGCGATCAAAAGCTCTTTTCATTCCTTGGGCAGATTCTGGTCGACTCCTGGGATATCACGCCGTTTGAAAAGATCGGTTCTACTGGGGATCCAGAATGCAGGGGCCCAGAACTTGGGGGCCTACGTGATGACGGAGGGTTTATGTAAGAAGTTGGGGTTCTCTCGTGGTGGTATAGAGTGGCTGTGAGGGGGCGAGCCACGAGGGCACCGCGCATGTTCAGAGTCTCAGCAACGAGCAGGTGCTCAATCAGTGGCGCGTTACGCCAGCCTTCCTTGAACTTCGGGTCCGCCGCTTGGGGTGGCTCGCGCAGTTTGTGCGTTATCCTGCGCGACACGCTCAGATTCTCACAGCACTTTTTGCTGCACTTGAAGTGGGCGATCGCCCACAGTACGACACCGTGGGTCGCGTCGCCGCCTACGCCAGCCCCTGGGCGAGACAGTTCCTTGAAGATGTACAGGCGCTGGAGGATATCGAGGATGGTCGTGGCTTGCTCGAGCGTCTTCAAGGCTCGTTTCTTGCACTTTGGTGGGGTAGGGGGCTCGGAAAAATGTGTTGTAAGGTCGACTTCTCTCTCTTGCGACGTCGTCGTCGCGCGGTCGCGATTCCTCCTCCTGGGTACGATCTGCAACTTAGCACTATGCTCTCTACCGAGGTCGTCCAGGGCGGGGCAGTTAAATGGGTGTGTGGTGTGTATGAACACCGATGCGATCCTGGTGATACAGTAGGTCGACGAGTTCGATGCGTTGCGAAGTTCTTTGCTAAGAAGTCTGCCCTGAACCACTTACGATGTCATCATCATTATCGGTCTTTGGGTCACGTCTCATACCGCACTTACGAGTGCCCGAACAGTCTTGGGATCTTCTCGGGAGTATCACGGCTAGCAGGCACCTCGTGGGCTCCATGAACAAGGGATGCTGTCTGGCTGGGGATGGTAGGTCACAGGCTGCTCGGTTACTTATCATAGAGTTAGCTTACCCCCTCTGCGAGTACCACGCATCGGACACATGTGATTCCCAGCAACAGATCCGTAGTCATCTTCCTCGAGTTCTTGATATCGTAGATTGTGCACGTTCCAGAGTTCAGCAGTCTCTAGGTCGCGCCGCACCTCAGTCTGATCGACTCGGCTTGGCTCGCCATGCCGAACACCGCCGCGACGCCCAAGTGGATGGCTCGCAGCACGGGGGAAAAGGACGGCAAGGCACGCCGTATCGTGGGCCCTCCAGAAGGCGGCGCGCAAGAAGCTCGCCAGGTGGTGCAGCGTGGCGGCAAGAAGCAAAGTTTGGACGAGCTCGTCATTGCGCTGGCAACGTTGGTGCTAAACGACGAGGCGGAGCTGAGAGCGCTCATCGGCGCAGTGTACGACACGTGGCTGCTGCCGCTCGACAGTCGCACAGTACAGTTCATGCTCGAGGAGGGGCAGAGCTTCAACGCGGAGGCTCAACAGCAGCGCGAGTTGCAGACGGCAGCGGGGAAGGAGGGCAAGGAGTTCGTGAAGGAGAAGATGCATGCCCCTCATCTGAGGGCGTTCGCAGCGTTGATCAAGGGAGTCGCCCACGAGGAGGAGATGGGGTCTTTGCCCAAGGAGCAGGTGGCGGCGGCGCAGTATTGGGAGTCAGTGTTGATGCCAGCGGAGGATCCCATCGTGCTCAGCGAGGTGATTCGGTTTTGCAAGGCCAAGCGCCTCAAGACAAAGGGCAAGGACGACAAGGACATGGCCAAGGTCCAGTTCCTGCTGGGCACCAGCGAGCGCGGCAGCCAGCTGCTCTCGGCGATCCGTCACTGTCTCAAGGTGGAGGGAGGCGAGAAAACCGTGGGGGCGGCGCCCAGACGGGTCCAGGTGAGGGAGGCGCAGCGTCTTCTAGACCTTTGCAAGTAGGGGGCTCGCGAGGGTTCAAGTGGGCCACCAGCGAGAGAGCTCAGCAACTTTGAGGGCGGGCCATTTGAATGAGGAGGCTAGCAGGAGAGTTTCAAGTTTGACTGAAAGTAGGGCTCCTGGCATTATCTATCCTTCCTCTATCCCCCCGTCTCCGGGCCTCACTTTGTATCCCGCTCCTGTCTATTTCCCTACAGCCCCAGAAGTAGGACCAGCAATTCAACTCCCCCCCCGATTTCGAAACCGTCGGGGCAGGGGTTCAGGATCTGAGCGAGGCGCGACTTCAGGCAGAGGTGCCCGAGGTTAGCGCCTATGATGGCAGCCGCAGGCTGCGTGCCGTCGGGTCCGCCATCGGGCCAGTCCCCACTCCTTAAGTGGTCGTGGGGCCGCGCGGTGGCTACTTGTTCCAGTCCGCCAACATGGCGAACCCAGGTGCCTCTTTATTTGTGCTGTATGTGTGATTGTGGGCGAGGGCTTGCATAGCAGTGCAGGGAGGGATCGGCGCCCAAGGGTCTTATCTTATCTTATATCCTCTTCCTCCTCCTCCTCCTCCCCCTCTTCCTCCTCCTCCTCCTCCTCCTCTTCCTCCTCCTCCTCCTCCTCCTCCTCTTCCTTCTCCTCCTCCTCCTCCTGGTGACCTGAACGCCTCGACGATCGTAGCCTGTGCGCCCCTGCCCCAGTGCCCAGGAGCGCGCGGGTTCTCCATCGGTCGCACGTCGCCGATGCAATGGAGGCCCATGCCAAGGGACACCCTGGTTGCCTCCAGGGTGCCCAGGGTTTTTTTGGGGGTTCGATGGCCTTGCTGTGGGAGGCGTGACGCTCCCACGCCAGAAGTCAGAGGACGTCCTGGGGCTTCAGGGTTGGGTTTCTTGTGAAGGTTTTTTGTGGACTGGCGTCCGTCCCCAGGGTGCCCCTCCGAAGGGTGCCCCATCCGAAGGGTTGGGTTTCTGGTGAAGGGTTCTTGTGAAGGCTTCTTGTGGACTTGCAACCTGGCGGCTGTAAGGCTGGGCAACCTTCCCAAGGATGCCCCATGCATCCTTGCCACTTCGGCCCATCATTGGCGCCGCTTCCGCTGGCCGCGCCCCGCTCGCAGAGTGCCGCGACATGGCCTCCCGAGGCCCTTGCATCCTCATCGCGCGTCCTTGTTATACGGGCTGGCTGCAGGGAAATTGCGAAATCAGCTGCGCGCGGCCGGTTTCGGCCTCGCCGCCAGGCCCATTCCTCGATAGCTACGTGGGCGCCGTCCGTCGCCAGGAGGCGCCAGGAAAACCAACTACACGTGGGCCGATACTCTGCCCTGCCCCTTGCTATCCTACAGTGGGGGGCGCTGAAGAATGAGCCCTTTGCGTTGGGGAAGGGCTCGATGCTCCTTGATTGGTTTACGGTCTGCCCGAGGTTTTCCTTGGGTTCTCGATGGGAAGCCGAAGTGTAACTCATGGGAAAAAGGGGGCCTCGTTCCTGATTCAGGGTTCCTCAGGTCAATGCCCCGACGGTGCGCGAGCCGATGCTCTGCCCTGCCCCCTGCTATCCTGCCCTCTTCGTGCCCCCCCCCCCCGAGAGGAGCGGGCTGGAGCGGATGCAGAGCGTCGGCCGCGGAAGACCAAAGAGAGCTCCACCTGCCAACACTGTTGCTAAGTCGGGCATGCCCCTCCACAGGAGGAGTATTCAAGCATACGTTTTTTTGCAAAAGAACATTGTCTGGGGACGATGGGAACGTCACGCTCTCCAGGGCAAAGCCATCGAAACCCAAGAAATCCAGGGCACCCTGCTGGCGAGCAGGGTGTTTCTTGGGTCTGTTGTCGTCTCCCCATGCCGGGGATCGGCGCTGGCCCCTCTCCACTCCCCAGTTGCGGCGCCTCTGGGGCCGCCACTGGCGCGCTCCGCGCGCCGGGGAAGGGAGTCCAACGCCGGCCCCGGAAATCCGCACGGACCTCCCCAGACATGATCGCGTCGTAAAAAATTCAGGATGGAGGTGTTTCGCTATTTACGGCCCCGGGGGGGCCTAGGCCAGGCCCCGGGACCGCCAAAAACGATTCCGGATGAAAAACCGGTCCGAGGGAAAGGGTCGGGATTTCCATGGGATGTTGTCCTGAAGAATTCAGGACGTCGCATGTTTGGGTCCGATTGTTTATGTCTATGCGGCGGTTTGCTCCTCCAGGCTCGTCCCTGTCGGACACCAGTTCGACGATCCGGAAGACGCAGAGCCAGTACACCACCTACGAGGACAGGCTGAGGTCTGCCGCGGCGGTGCTGGGACAGCTGAAGCGGAGGACGGAGGACGACTCCAAGTACATCTGGCGGTCCTTTTTATTTTTTGTGATCGTGGTTGCCTACATATTCTTGAAGCGCGTAAAGGTGTTCAAGGTGATGTACCTGGCAGGCTCCTGGACCATGTGGTCCGGAAGCACCGCGGCGGGCATCGTCCACAGCCTCGTCGACACGGCCATCAGCGTCGGCGACACCCTCGGCAGTGCTCTGGGCATCTCCACCGGTTCCGACCCGCTCGAGGGCACGAGCGGGCAGGAGCTGTAGGCCAATGCGCGTCAAGCCGGCGCTCGGCGCAGCCAGAGCTTGCGCAGAGCGGCGTGCCTTGGAATGCGGCGCCTCCGCCCCTGCGGCGGTCCCGCGCCTCTGGTCGCCGTGACGCCCGCCAGCGACCACTGCCGCGTCGGGGGCCCCTGGCGTGCGGGCCCGAGAAGGAAGCACGGACGCACGGCGAGTCGGGGTGCGAGTGGAGGGTTTCTCCGAAGGGCTCAGGCGACCCGTCCTCCTCCTCCTCCTTCTCCTCCTCCTCCTCGCGGTGGCGCGCGGGCCTGAAAAAAGGAAGTACAGCGAGTCGGGGTGTGGGGCGGCGTTCCGTCGGCCGCGCGGGCAGGGGGCGCAGGTGAGCAAACGGCGCGAGCATGCGTGCTCGGAGGTCCGCGCGGATGGCTCGCATCGGCGCTGGAACCTCCCTGGCGGCGCCTCCGGCGCCGCACCTGGCGCGCTCCAGCGCGCCAGGGAGATCCAGCGCCAGTCCGAGGAATCGTCGTCGTCGCGGAATTCCGAAAGATCATTCTTGTGTAGCTCTTGTGTTTCGGACTGTGTGTTCACTCGACGTGTCAGCGGTGAGGATATGTTGCTGGCGGTTTTAGGCCAGGGGCGGTGAGGATATTTCGCTGGCAGTTTTACGGCCTGGGGTGGAGGATATCTAGCTGGCAGATTTAGGCCAGGGGGGTAAAGATATTTAGCTGGCAGTTTTTTGGCCAGGGCCGGTGAGGATCTTTCGCTGGCAGTTTTAAGGCCAGAGGTTGAGGATATTTCGCTGGCAGTTTTAAGCGAGGGGGTGAGGATACTTAGCTGGCAGTTTTAAGCCAGGGGCGCTGAGGATCTTTCGCTGGCAGTTTGAAGCGAGGGGTGTGAGGATATTTTGCTGTCAGTTTGAAGTCAAGGGGTTGAGGATATTTCGCTGACAAGTTTAAGCCAGGAGGTGAGGTTATTTCGCTCGCAGTTTCAAGCGAGGAGTGTGAGGAAATTTCGCTGGCAGTTTTCAGGCTGGGGGGTGAATCTACTTCGTTGGCTTTTGTATTTGAGGGGTGTGAGGATATTTCGCTGGCAGTTTGAAGCGAGGGGTGTGAGGATATTTCGCTGACAGTTTTCAGTCAAGGGGCGTGAGGATATTTCGCTTCCAGTTTTAAGCCAGTGGGTAAGGTTATTTCGCTGGCAGTTTGAAGCGAGGGGTGTGAGCATATTTCGCTGGCAGTTCTCAGGCTGGGGGTTGAGTATATTTCGTTGGCGCTTGTATTCGAGGGGTGTGAGGATATTTCGCTTGCAGTTTTAAGGCCAGGGGGTGAGGATATTTCGCGGCAGTTTTTGGCCAGTGGGTGAGGATTTTCGCTGACAGTTTAAAGCGAGGGGTGTGAGGATATTTCGCTGGCAGTTTTAAGTCAGGGGGTGGAGGATATTTCGCTTGCAGTTTCAAGCGAGGGGCGGTGAGGATGTTTTGCTGGCAGTTTTAGGCCAGGGTGTTTGAATATTTCGCTGAGGGGTGTGAGGATATTTCGCTCAGGGGTGTGAGGATATTTCGCTGGCAGTGTTAAAGCCAGGGCGGTGAGGAGATTCTGCTGGCAGTTTGATGCCATGGGGTAAGGATATTTCGCTAGCAGTTTTAAGGGATGGGTGTGAGGAGGGGGGAGGGGGAGGAGGAAGAGGGAGAAGGCGTCGGACGAGGAGGAGGAGGAGGAGGAGGTGGTGGACGACGAGGGGGGCGGAGGAGACCGAAGACGAGGAGGGAGTAGGAGAGGGAAGAGGCGGCGGAAAGAGGAGCCGGAGGAGTTGGACGATTGGCAGGGATGGGTGAGAGGGAGGACGGAGGACGAGGACGAAGAGGGGCTGGCGAAAGGGGGGAGTTGGAGGTAGGGCCTGAGAGGAGTCGTTGTCGATGCGGGCATCCACGCGCCACGCGATGCAGTGTTGGATCTTGCCCTGCCTGGCCCAGCCGAAGGCTACGCATGCAGCGCGGTGCTGCGCCCGTACATATGCGCAGGAGGAGGAGGAAGAGGAGGAGGAGGGAGGTCCGTAGCCATTGTGGCTCAAGTGCGATACCGTGCCCTGCTGCTTCGTCCTTGCCTGCAACCGAGGGGCTGGCTCGAGGCGAGCTCGCCCTCAGCAGCAGGCCTTCCCGCACGACCCCCACGGTGAGCTCTCGTGCGGCCGTGGCTTCGTTTCGGTACCTTCAGTGTCTCCTGTCGAACCTAGATGGGTAGCGATTGTGAATCCTTCTCGCGCTGTGCTCAGTGCGGCTGTGGGAAGAACCTTTCGTGGTGGAGGTGGTGCAAGCACTGCCGGTCGCCGCTGCAGCCATGTGTCCCGCCCGAGACTCTTGGGCGGGACGTCTCTGCAAGCACTGCCGGTCGCCGCTCGCTGCTGCGGCGCGGCGGTCTCTTAGAGACCGCCGCGCCGTGATGGCAGCCGTGAGCCTGTGCGTGCTCGTTCTCCTGCAACTGACGCCAAAGTATGGAGGCCATGGCACAAGGCAGGCACGGCCAGGCGGAGAACCACCCGCGTCACCTCCTCGGACTGCTCCGCCCCTGGACAACAGCCGGCAGATGCTGGCGAGGATGAGCCCACCGAGGAGCAGCGGCTGGTGGCGCTCACGGTGCTCTTGTCCAAGTCAGGAGATGGAGGAGGGAGGAGAAGAAGAGGAGGGGCGAAGGCAGGAGGAGGAGGCAGGAGGCAGAAGGAGCAGGAGGAGGAGGAGGAGGAGGAGGCAAGTGGAGGGAGGCAGGAGGAGGAGACAAGTGGAGGGAAGGAGGGAGGGAGGAGGAGCAGATGACAGGAGAAGGAGCAGGCAGGAGTCATTTTGGCTCAAGAGCCACCCTCGCCCCCTCGGGAGGGCGGGGTTGGCCCCCTCCCTCCCTCCCTCCTTGCCCAGACCCCCGACGTCATGATTTTTTCGCAACGTCGACCCCGAGAGGCCTCGACCCATTCCCTCCCCAGTCCGGCTTTTCATCCCGAGTAGTTTTTTGACGGCTCCGAGGCCCCGTAACGGCTCCCAGAGGGGAAGGATTGCGAAAAACCTTGCGTCTTGTTACCTAACAGCTTTTGCTGATAGGTTTCTATCTAGTGGGATCAAAAAAAAAAAAAAACATCTTGACGCCCCAGGGGGGTCTGGGCGGGATCCGGACAAGGAACCGGGCAAAAGGGTCAGCTCCAGGAATCCTTAGAAATCCTTAAAGAATTCTTAGGAATCCTTGGGAATCCATTCCCAGAACACCATTCCCAGGCCACATTTTGAATGCCCGGAGTCAACTGTAGTCCACTTCGTGTTCTTCGTGTTCCCAGAACACCATTCCCAAGCCACATTTTGAATGCCCGGAGCCAATTGTAGGCCACTTCGTGTTCCCAGAACACCATTCCCAGGCCACATTTTGAATGCCCGGAGCCAACTGTAGGCCACTTCGTGTTCTTCGGGCTCCCAGAACACAATTCCTGTACCATATTTTGATTGCCCGGAGCCAACTGTGGGCCACTTCGTCATCTTCGTGTTTCCAGACCACCAATCCTGTGCCATATTTTGAATGCCCGAGCTGAGGCAGGCTGAGGCCGAGGCAGGCTGAGGCTGAGGCTGAGGCACGCCGAGGCAGGCTGAGGCTGAGGCAGGCTGAGGCTGAGGCAGGCTGAGAGGCTGACGCAGGCTGAGGCCGAGGCAGGCTGAGGGTGAGGCTGAAGCAGGCTGAGGCTGAGGCAGGCTGAGACTGAGGCTGAGGCAGGCTGAGGCTGAGAGGCTGAGGCTGAGGCAGGCTGAGGCTGAGGCTGAGGCCGAGGCAGGCTGAGGCTGAGGCTGAGGCAAGCCGAGGCAGGCTGAGACTGAGGCTGAAGCTGAGGCAGTCTGAGTCTGAGGCTGTGGCCGAGGCTGAGGCAAGCGGCGGCTGAGGCAGGCTGAGGCTGAGGCCGAGGCTGAGGCTGAGGCAGGCTGAGGCTGAGGCTGAGGCCGAGGCAGGCTGAGGCTAAGGCCGAGGCAAGCCGAGGCAGGCTGAGGCTGACGCTGAGGCTGAGGCTGAGTCAGGCTGAGGCCGAGGCTGAGGCTGAGGCAGGCTGAGGCTGAGGCCGAGGCAGGCTCAGGCCGAGACAGGCTGAGGCTGAGACTGAGGATGAGGATGAGGCTGAGGCCGAGGCAGGCCGAAGCTGAGACAAGGTGAGGCTGAATGGGGGGGGAAGGGGGGAGGAGGGGAGGCTGAGGCAGGCTGAGGCCGAGGCAGGCTGAGGCCGAGGCAGGCTGAGGCTGAGGCAAGCCGAGGCAGGCTGAGGCTGAGGCTGAGGCAGGCTGAGGCTGAGGCAGGCTGAGGCTGAGGCTGACGCAGGCTGAGGCCGAGGCAGGCTGAGGCTGAGGCTGAGACAGGCACAGGCTGAGGCTGAGGCCGAGGCAGGCTGAGGCTGAGGCTGAGGCAAGCCGAGGCAGGCTGAGGCTGAGGCTGAAACTGAGGCAGGCTGAGGCATCCGTAGGACCCTAGGAATCCTTAGGATTCCAATGGATCCTAAGGCCGTTGCCACTGCGACTGTCATTGCGAATGCGACTGCGACTGCGAGAACAGCAGACTTCTACAACTGGATTCTCACCTGAATCTTAAGGGGAATGCTTCCAGATATGCTTATACACATCGTTGTTTGGTTGCTTTGCCGGGATAATTTTTCTTCTGTTCATGACTCGAGGGGGTCTGGGTCCCTCCTTCCCTCTGCGATGTACTGGGCCGCCGTGGAGGAGGCGGCGCCGGCTGACGCCAGGCGCGAGCCGCCGCCGTGGGCGCCTTCCGGCTCCCACTACCTCGTGGCGGGGCCGAGCTTCCCGGCGGGCTTGCCGCAGGAGCTGCGGGACGAGCTGGTGGACGTGGAGCCCGGCGGGCTGGTGGAGCTCCAGGCTCGGGCGTCAAGCAATGGGGGCGCGAGGAACGCAGGGGGGGGGGAGACCCTCGGGAGGAGAGCGAGGAGCATGATGATGAGGAGGAGGAGAACGAGGAGAACGAGGAGAACGAGGAGAACGAGGAGCAGGAGGAGGAGGAAGAGGAGGAGGAGGAGGAACAGCAGGAGCAGCAGGAGCATCAGTAGCAGCAGGAGGAGGACGAGGAGGAGGAGGAGGAGGACCCTAGTGCCCAGATTCCCAGAGTGGTCTCAAGTCGAACTGTACACTGCATCGTGAACTCATCACTCCAGCGCCACCTGCCTCTTAGCTGGCCTCTTCGTGACTGGCCAGCAGCGCCCATCTTTGTATGTTTAATTGCATTCAGCACGTATAGATGAGTCGAGCCGCTCCAACTTTTCATGCCAGAGTGGGGCACTCGTCGAATTTACTGCTACGCGGCACTTTTCGGGGGTCTGCGCAACGGTGGTATTCACTTCAATGAGCTATTGCCCGCCACCTCGAGCCAAACTGAGTCTTACAGGGCAGAGGGCGTTCTCGCCCACAAAGCTCCGCGCTAAGCACCTCCAGGTATGTTTCCGCGTCTTGTGGAAAAGCAAGGCTCGGTGGGTGGCAAAGGACCAAAGGGGGACGACCCCCCCCCGGCACTCACACACACACACATTCCCTCTCTCCCACGCACACATCACATATGAGAGCGGGCGGAGGGAGGGGTGTCAACTTGGGCCGACCCGGCCACCGAATCGCAGTAGAACAATTTCTGGATGAGCGGGCTCCACAAGGAGCCAGCTCCACGGGTAGGAGCGGCGCAGGCGTGGGGCTTCGGCCTGCGACTGCTGCTGGCGCCATGCTGCACCTATCGGGCCCCTCGGAGGGCCCGCGCAGGCACCTGCCTCAGTGGCGCCGTCAATGCGAATGGCAAGGTGGTGGCAGGCTGCCCGCGCGCTGCGGAATTGGCCAAGCTACTCCTCATTTCGGCCCTCAGGGCAGTGGCCTTGGCGGCCCCCATCGCCAGGATCCTCAACGTGGTCGGCGATGTCTCGTGCCATGCGACTGGGCCATGCACCACGGTAGCCCAGCAGCTGGCCGCTGCCTATCGCGCCTTCTGCGCGAAGATGGAGGAGGCCAACCTGCCGCTCAGCAGGAACAAAACCAAGGCGCTCGCTACCAGCAGCAAGCCACGCGACGCCCTCAGGAGCCAGCCTGGCTGGGACCTCGCGGAGGGCGACTTCGTGGACGTGCACAGGGACCTGGGCGGCGACGCAGTTTCGGGTTCCTACAGACGTGCAGCGACTTCAGCGGCTTGTGAGAAGGCCGCTCGATGCCAAGGGAGGAAGCTCACCAGGCTGTTCAGTCCCTCGATCAGCCGAGCAAGGGTCTTCAGAGCTGGCCCCACAGCGAAAACCTCTCGGGGCTCGGCGATCATGGGGGTGCCCAACGGCCGCCTCCGTCGGCTGCGCGCTGGGGCCATCAAGGCGAGAGGCCGAGTGGCCCGCGGGGTCTCCCTGGAGCTCGCCAGCTTTGGCCAGTCAGGTGGCTGGAAGCGGGGCCCCCTGACGATCGTCACTAAGACGGCGCTGATGGCCTACGTCGAGATGATCTGGGCCTCCCTGCTCCCCCAGGCGGCGGCCCGCTCTTGCCTCGCCGCTGGCCTGAGCAACGCCAAGAGGATGCACTCCTGGCGCCTCGTGAAGGAGCCGTTCGGCGCCTTGGTGCTCACGCTCGAGCGGGTCGGCTGGGGATACATCAGCGGCGACCCCTATAGGCTCCATAACGCGCTGGGTCACGAATGCCACGTACGTCGCTACTCACCAGCCTTCTTCGGCCACATGTTCTCCCAGGACTGCCGACGAGCCATCGGGCTTGAGGGGGTGAAGCGACGCGGCTCCAGCAGGTGGGGCTGGGAGGCCCCACCCTTCTGGCAGCCGGTCCTCGACCTGGTCAGCCACCGCTCTGAGGTGCGACTTTCACCGCCAGAGGGCGCTGCGCTGCCTCATCCAGAACACCTACTGGTGCCAGGCCAGGGTCGGGGCGGAGGGCCCCTCCGTCCGGAAGAGCCGCCAGCTCTGCGACCACCCAGTCGGCCCCCTCTTCCGCAGGCGGTCCAGGCGCGAGGCTCACGACGGCTGTAGGCGCGAGTTTCTCGAGCCGCTGCTGCGGGGCGCGGCCGCGCGCGTCGGGCTCTTGGGCTACCCTTTCACGGAGCTGTTCGCTAGGGGGCTGTCCCCAGGCGTCTCCGGGCAAGCCAACGTTCCAAGGCCCCGTTCCAACGACTTCTTCAAGCACGCGACCAGCTGGCCGAACCTCGGGCCCTTCGCCGACGGGGGGCACGTTTTCGTGGGCGGCTCAGGGGTCGATTAGAGCTACCCGACCCTGCGGGCAGCTGGTTGGCCCATCATCGTCTGTGACAAGCACCGCAAGCTGATCGCTGAGGCGCGGGGCTCGGCCCCGCTGTCTGAAGGACCCGAGCAGCTGGCCAGAGACGGAAAGGACTGCGCGGCAAAGGCCCTCACCGGCACCATCCTTGGGGGCTCCTTCAAGCTCTATTGCGACTGCCTTGCGATAGTGCGACGCGCTGCCAATCCTCTGGCGGCGGCAGCGGCGGGCAGCCAGCGAGCCCGCATTTGGGCTGGACGGGCGGAGAGGCTCAAAGGCGCGGAGGTCATCGAATTCAGGGCCCACCTGGAGCAGCAGGCAGTCAGGAACGGGCTGATCACGGATTTCGAGCTCGATGGCAATGCCCTGGCCGACGCCCGAGCTAAAGATGGGGCCTCTGCGGCCCGAGCGGACTGCAGCGACATCTACTGCATCGGGGGTTGCCTCTTCATCGTCCGCCTCGCGGCGAGGAATGCGGCAGCGCAGGAGGTGCCCGTCGCGGTGTCGGGTCTCCGCGACTCCATGGGGGTCGCGGCCCTGGAGATCATTGACCTGGGCGAGTGGCCCGCCGACCCTGCCAAGGCCTGCGAGGAGGATGCGGCCCCGTCGGCTAGCGCGGACCCCATATGCACAGGGGGTGGTCCGCTGCCTGGCCTAGAGGGCTCGTTGCGGCCGCGGCGCGCGCGCGGGCACTCCTTGATCGCGGCGCCTTTCCTCCCCGAGGCAGGCGACAATTCGGCCCTTCTGTTCTGCGCAACTTGTAGAGGTTCTGTTTCGGACAGGAAAGGGCGATGCCTCCAGGACTACTGTCCAGGACGCCCGATTCCGAGTAGTAAGAATAATCGCAAAATCGCCATGCGAAGGCATCCCAAAGGGGCGCGAAGAAGCTCGGTGAGCTCAGGTCTCCCACGGTGGCCGAGATTTCGCTTTGGTCCGAGCACTTTTCCCTTGCGCTCTCCGAGGCGACCCGGGCGGTGACCCCTTCGGAGGGCCCGAAGAGGCCTTCGATTCTGGAGGCGCCCCCGCTCTTCGGGCTCCAGCTGGCCCGAGCCCAGCTCTTGGGGTCGAGAGCTCTTGAGGCCAGGACGGGGGCCCTGGCGCCCTGTCGGCGGGGCCGCGTGGCCTCTCAACCCGATGGCCCTTTCGACCCCTGATCGCTGGCTCCCCCTCACATTGGCACGGGGGCTTTAGGGTCGAGGGCGGGGGGGGGGGGTCTTCGGGCTGTTTGAATTTATCTGCATGACCTTTCAGGGTCGAGTCTAGCCTCCCCCCCCTCCTCCTCCCCCCCCTTTTCCTCCTCCTCCTCCTCCTCCTCCTCCAGCCCCTCGGCTCGGCATCCTCAGGAATGGGGCCGGTTTTCTGGGTGACGTAGCACTCTCTCCACATTACACGTACATGTCCATTCTCTGTGGTGTTGGGGGGCTGCTGGCCACCCGCACGCTTCCTCTCATTGTCGGCTCCTACAACCCTCTCCGAGCGAATAGCGAGGATCGGGTGGGCGGGATCGCGCGCCGCACCTCCAGCTTCGACAGCGTCTGCCTGGTGGGGGCCAAGGTCAAGGCCACGGTGGGCACGACTGTTCGGGCCCGAACTGTTTCTCTTCCAGGGAGCGATGGTTACCGTGCCATTGTTGAAGCGGGGTGCCAATTGGGTTATTATGTCACATCTTCGGCTGGGTGCTCTCTTATCCTGGGGCGACGTTGGTTCGTGACATTGTCCGGGTGGCCGTTCCTCCCCCGCAGTTCCAAGGGCGTGGCCTTCTGCTTCGGGCAAAAAATCACTTGGCCGACATCACGAGCGCTGCACTCTATTACCCCCTCGCCCACGGGAGCTTCGAGCACAAGCTAACTACCGACACACGTGCGATGCGCTGACTGCCTGGCTTTCGTCTCAGCTGTGTGCGTTGCCGCGGCGAACAACGCCATTTGTTGGGATGGACTTGAATGATGGACTGGGACTGATTCAGAGTGGGAAGGAGGGATGGAAGAGGGAAGGGCAATGTGTTGTTCCACCCAGGCTCGCTAGTCGGGTTCACTATGCTGGCGTGGCAGTCAGTGAGGTTCTTGCTGCGCATGATCTTTGCGCCGCCAATTGTGCCCGCGAGCGGGCGCTTACCTTTTTCTCGAATAACGACAGAGCAGTACCATCGATGTTGTCTGTCTGCTTCGCCCGCTCGTTCAGGTGATGTGTCATTGTAGTCCGCTCCGTCGGGTCAGCCGAGAGTTGCATGTCATTCCAAGTCAACGGCCTGCTGACCACCTCCTTCATACGGCTAAGTTACCGTATATCCTCAGTGTGCCTCAGGCGCCATCCCCGTCCTCCAAGCCTGCGTCCTGGGACCGGGTTGCTCTCATGCGCTGTGTGCGGCGTGGTGAACGTCGTGCTGAATTTACTCAGGCCCTTCATGTACGCGTTGCGCAGGATACGCCTTTGCCACAGGAGCTGACCTCGCGCTCGGTTGCGGACGAGTTCTTCGAACGCGTCAATGCCATGCTGATCGAGGTTGGCCAGCAGGTGTTTCAAGGGGGCCGAGACGAGGCGGCGGAACAGTTCCATCTTGAGCGCGAGCAGTTACTTGAACAGCGCCGTCAACTGCGTCTGCTCCTTCCTGAGGCGGATGAGCCCCATGCTACCGACATCCAAGATAGACTACGCCATGTCTCACGACTTTACCGTGGTTTCCGACGACGGGCGGCGGAGGCGAGGCGAGAAGCTCTTCTCGAGGAAGTTCGTGAGCACTGGCGTCATCGGCGCCTGGCTGAAGCTACTCGTCTTGCTCGCCGTGCCGCGGGGTCCGGGTTTGGACGCAAACGGAGGGACTACAGCGCAATTCGTGGCACGGTCGATGATGCAGTTCAGCTCCGCGAGCTTTTCTCTCGCCCTGGCCCCGAGGGAGGCATGTCAGCGCGTCCTGTACTTGATTCGGGTGCTTGGCGTGCTCAGTGGATCAATCGCGTTCCAGGCCCAGTCTCTCTGCTGGACGGTCATTCTCGTGCTGCTTGCTAAGCGGGATTTTCGTGCAATCCGGCACCGTATATTAAAAGCAGGAAAGAGGCGGGCTGTCCCTGAAGTGTCGCCGCCGTTGGAGCTCTGGTGGCTCGCTCTCTTCCCTCGGTGTCACCTGGCGAACCTTCCCCTGGGAGTTGGAGGGGCGCAAGTCGTGGGCGATCTGTGTAGTCGTCTGACTGTGAGGGCTTTGAAGAGGGGTGGTGCCATGAGACACCCACTGGAGTGCGCCTCCATCGGGGTCGTCTACAGGCTTGAGCGTCACCCCGCCGACAGGGCCCCCTCTCAGTTGGAAGTCGCTTTCGTTAGCCACTCAGATCCAACTGTTTGACTGTTTCGTAGCAAAGAGAGACTTTGGGTCCGAGAGTTCTTTGCTTTGCTTTGCTTTGCTTTGCTTTGCTTTGCTCCTCCTCCTCCTCCTTCTCCTCCTCCTCCTCCTCCTCCTCCTCCCTCCTCCTCCTCCTCCTCCTCCTCCTCCTCCCCCTCCTCCTCCCCCCCTCCTCCCCCTCCTCCTCCCCTCCTCCTCCTCCTCCTCCTCCTCCTCCTCCTCTTCCTCCTCCTCCTCCTCCTCCTCCTCCTCCTCTTCCTCCTCCTCCTCCTCCTCCTCCTCCTCCTCCTCCTCCTTGCTCTCCCCTCGGGTCTCCGCGGCTGGCGCGCCCGAGGGCGGCCTCCTCGCCTCGCCCTGCTGCCTCGCCTCGCCCGTCGAGCGGCGCTGCGCTCGCCTGCGCGCCCGTCGCCATCAGGGCGAGGGCTCTGACGGGGCCAGCATCGCGAAACGGATTTCGTTGGGAAAACGATCGGGCGGGCTCGGAGCGTCCTGGAGAATGTCGTCCCGGATTGCGAGGTGAATGTCATGCGGATCTTTCTTTGGGGGCCAGGAACGAAGACTACCACAAAACACCAAACGCACTTCGTTTTTCACCCGCCGTTTCGGGTTTTCGCAGTGGCAGAAGTCCTCGCAACAGTCCGCTGCAGCACGTATGCAAGGTCGGTTCTGGCTTCTCAGACTGAAGAGTCTGAGTTCGCTCAGCGCCCCCCCCTTCCGCAGCGACGAGTAACCCCCCCCCGGTTGGGGCGGGGGGGGATCTGGAGGCCTGGAGCGCAGAGCTCAACAAAAACTCACCACCCACCAAACCACCCCAACCCAACCCGAAGCATTTAAAAAACACATGGACCCCGTACCCGCCCAACCCGGAATTCGAGTCAAATTCGTGTCTTCGGGTTGGGGTGGGGTGGTCTGGTAGGTAGTCAAGATAGGGCACTGACAGCTGCCATGCGCTGCGCCTCCAACGCTGTCCGAGCGAGCGCGCCGTTGGCGTTCTCGCGGGCAGGGTCTTCCTTCCCGAATCGAAGGAAACAAAAACGCCATAAATATGAGCTTGTGGCGCTCCGCGCGGATTTCTTGGATCCGCGCTGGGCCCCACCCGCGGCGCTTCCGCCGCCGCCCCTAGCGCGCTCCGCGCGCCAGGCAGGGGGGCCAGGCGCAGGTCCAAGAAGTCCGCGCGGAGCGCCAAAAGTCTATGGTTAGGCATTTTTCCTTGTACCCAAGGCACTTGACCGCACTCGGCCCACTCTAGCAGTCGCGTCCATGGCTAGGTCTCCTGAAAGGCTGGGGCCGCCTCTGATACCTCTTGGCCACCTCCAGTACAGTGGGGGCAGGCATCAAGGAACCATGAGCTTTTCGTCAGGGTATCCTGGGTTTCTTCGCTCTTCGCGCTGCGCGGTGACTTCCCGCAGCCCTTGAAGGAGCTGCTGCGTTCAGGGTGCTCCAGGTTTCCCCTCAGGTGCACCTCGCGCACGGGTTCTCAGGGTTGGGTTTCTTGCGAGGGTTTCTTCCGTCCGCGCCCGCACCGTAGCCAGTGCCTGCTTGCCGCGCAGACGGCGCCTCGGCACTGCCTGCTCGTCTGGCCCCATTGGCTCTTCGCTGTTGGCCACGGGGGTGATCGTGGCACTCGCTTGCGCCGCGATCTTCTGGAGTCTGGCCAGCGGGCGCACGATCTTCGCCTCTGCCTCCTTCAACGCCGCCTGAAGACTGGAGGGACGAGTGGGGATGACTTCGCGTCCGCGATGACCCTCGACAAGCGCTTGGTCGAGGCCTCCAGCTAGTTCGGAGTGTTCGCCTCCAGCTCCTTCGCCTCGAGAGTCTTGGGCTCCTGCTCCATCTGGTCGGCATCGCGAGCCTGGCGCACCTCGTCCCGTGCATTGGCCAGCGCGCGCTGGCTGTCGTCGAGGGGCTCGTCGGCGCGCTCCACGGCGGACCTGCACGAGGCCAGCTGGCTGCCCAGCTGCCTGGAGAGGGTGGCGCTCCTCTTGGCCTCCTGGATCCGCCGCTGGAGAAGCTCCCGATTGGGTTGGAGCTCCTCGCTGAGCGGAAGGGCCGCCTTCGCAGTCTCGAGGCCCTTGATCTTCACGTTGTGATCGATGTTATGATATGTTCTGGCTCTTCTCTGTGTACCTGGTGGTCTGGCCGGCTGCTGAGTCCCTTGCCACGGTGCGTTGAGCCCACAGGGCAACCTTCTCGGCCTTGTCGGGCTGGACCACTTGCGCCCAACTCTTCTTCAAGCCACAGTCCTTGCCTTTGTTCTATGCCACTTGATTCCACGCGTGGCAGCCCTCCGCACGACATTGCCACCACTGTTCCTCCTGTAACCACTGCTTCTGAGAGCGCTGCTGCCACCGCGCGAGTACCGTGTGGATCTGCAGATAGCAGTGGAGTGCGCTGCGTAGGCCTACGTTCTGGCTCAGAGGCCCCCTGGTCATCTTGAGCCAAGATAGATACGGATCCTCCTCCTTCTTCTCCTCTTCCTGCTCCTCCTCCTCCTGCTCCTCCTCCTGCTCCTCCTCCTCCTCCTGTTCCTCCTCATTTTCCTCCTCCTCATCCTCGTCTTGAGCGTTCCTTGATGGGGGTGGGGCACTGGCGTCCTCTTTGGGCGCTGCTTGTCTGAGGCCTCTATAAAAATGATATTGCTATGAATGTGCCCTGGAGGGGTATCCTGGGGCCCAAGAGGGGCACGAAGGGTGCACGGTCCCCCTCCCCCCCTCTCCTTCTTCATCTTCCCCTGTGAACTCACGCCCGACAGCCCCCCGAGGAGGAAAATGAGGAGGAACAGGAGGAGGAGGAGGAGGAGGAGGAGGAGAAGGAGGAGGAGGAGGAGGAGGAGGAACAGGAGGAGGAGGAGGAGGAGGAGGAGTGAAGTGACGCCCGGCAGGCCTGCCACGGCGGCTGGGGCCTGGGGTCCCCGCTCGTGTGGGAGCCGACGGGCCCGGTGCCCGGAGCCCGGGGCGCCGAGGGCGCCTTCCGCCTGGAGTGGATGCGCGCCGTGCGGGTGCGGCCGCACGGCGGGCGCCCGCGGTGCGTGCTGCTGGCCGACGCCAGCTGACGGGTCCACTTTCCACCACCACGGCCATGGGTGGGCAGGAGGGAGGGGGAGGAGGAGGGGGAGGGGGAGGAGGAGGAGGAGGAGGAGGAGGAGGAGGAGGAGGAGGAGGAGGATCGGCTACGCGCAAGAGCGGAGAAGGAGGAGGACGAGGAGGAGGAGGAGGAGGAGGAGGAGGAGGAAGAAGACCATTTCGTCCCTTCTCCCCCGTCCTGCATGCGGTAGTGGTGGTGGAAAATGTGCCCATCATCAGCGCCAGCCGCTACGAGTTCCACCCGCCCAGCTGCCCGGACGTGGCGGCCAGGCGATCGCCATGGGAGGGGGGGGCCCTGTCGTCGCAGTTGCATCAAGCGGGGCGTGTTCGCCCAAGGTCGGGCCCGGGGACCTTCACGGATCGATCCGGCTCGAAAAATGGCGCAGAACGATGTTCACCACATTTTAATGTTTGTCGAGACGTCGGATCTCAGGGGGAGCGGATCCTGGGGGAAGCGGGTCCCGAGGCTTTTTGTCCGTTTGCGGGTTCCTGGGGCCTTCCACGGGCCCTGGGGCTGTCAGGAAACGGCTCCGGAGGAGCAGCTCGTCCTGAAGGCCCCAGGATTCTAACCATCCGCGGCCCCAGAGGTCCCGATTTCGTCCCAGCTCCCTTTTTCAAGGGGCCCCAGGTCCGATGACGGGCCCCAGAGGCCGAAATCCACGAAAAAAAAACGCCAGATTTACGAAATCACGTCCTCGGATCTTGCCTGTGATCCGCCGTCTCGAAACAATTGAAGCATCGTGAAACAATGCGCACATAGCACATAGAGCCCTGGACCCCGTCTTCGTGCACTTTTTTCGAACGGGCGAAATCACCCGGCTCGAAAAAAATGAGACGCCAGGATCCCAGGGCAGCCAGAATCTGAAGATCCCCCCTCGGGCCAGTCCTTACCCGTTCCCCGGGACCGGTTTTTCATCCTGAGTCTTTCTTTGAAGGTCCCAGGGCCCGGCGAGGGCTTCTAGAGGCCGAAAACGGGGAAGAAGCTCCGTCCTGATTTTGTTACTACGCGATCACGTCCTCCTCCTCTTCCGCGAAGCTGTTCGTCAGGGGCAGGAGGCCGAAGCCACCCCGTAGGCTGCGAGCCGCCGAGAGTTTCGGACCGAGGGGTCGGCAGGGGGGGTCCTCTGGCGAGGCGCACAGCTCCGAGGTGCGGGACGCCGAGACGGGACCAAGGCCTGGACCCGAGGACGAAAGCTCAGAATTCGAGGAGCTGCCTGCTGCCACTCTGGACGCAGAGGAAGATGCGGCGGCGTGGCTCCTCGGGGACTGAGTTTTGGTGTCGGAGGCCCTCTTAGATGTGTGCGGCGTTGGCGTCAGCTCTCGTCCGCAGGCTCTTTGGAGGTGACCTCGCGCCTGAGGGCGCAGCCTTGGCATCCATGCTCTAGCATCCTCCTCCTCCTCCTCCTCCTCCTCCTCCTGCGCTTCCTCCTCCTCCTCCTCCTCCTCCTCCTCCTCCCCCTCCTCCTCCTCCTCCTCCTCCTCCTCCTCCTCCTCCTCCTCCCCTCCTCCTCCTCCTCATCCTCCTCCTCCTCCTCCTCCTCCTCCTCCTCTCCTCCTCCTCCTCCTCCTCCTCCCTCGCCTCCTCCTCCTCCTCCCTCCTCCTCCTCGTCCTCCTCCTCGTCCTCGTCCTCCTCCTCCTCCTCCTCCTCCTCCTCCTCCTCCTCGAGCGGGGCAGGCGGCTCCATCCCGACCGTCGATGCTGGAAGGCTCCAGCCTTGTCCGCTTGAAGTGTCCAATCCAATCCTCCTCCTCCTCTTCCTCCTCCTCCTCCTCCGCCTCCTCCTCCTCCTCCTAGCCGCTCTGGCCCAGCGGCAACCCGATTCAGAGCGGCGCAGCTGCTGCGAGCCATGGCAGTGGCTTGATGCATCCGCGTCTTCGGTTCTTCATAGGGGAGAGCTTCTTTGGCGCGGATTCTGGGAGCCTGTTCGGGGACTTCTTGAGGGCCTCGAAGGTCGACATCGACAATGCCGAGGTCGAGGTCGTCGTCTCCCAGGCCTACCAGACCTTGGGCCCAGAAGGCGGGAGTGCAGCCGAGGCAGAGGTCCAACCAAAGCGTGCAGGAGGGCAGGCCTGCGGACCTCTTGAAATCGCCGCCGAGGCGAGTGAAGGTGGGGAGTCAGTGGCTGCCGAAGCCCCCACCGCCAGTGATAAAGAAGGTCCCATGGCGCCATGTGGAGCCGTCCGCGTCGGCTGCGGGAAAGGTACAGGCCCAGGGGAAGAAGACAAAGAAGCTGAAAAACAAGGACCAGACCAAGCGGAGCCCCTTCGCGAACCTCAAGGGCCAGATCGACGTGACCCAGGATTGGAAGCTGAAGGGCTGCAGCCTCCCAAAGTGGAAGTGCGAGGGCTGCGCCAAGGAGCTACAGAGGAAGGCGGTCCTCTTTGGCTTCAGGATGCGGTGCCCGTTCTGCCGCATGCCGCCGCCGCCTACCACAAGGAGGACGCAGGAGGAGGCCATCCGCAAGTGTAACAGGAAGGAGCTCGAGCGCCAGAGCGCTCCCAAGAAGCAGCTGGCGTGGGCTCAGGCTGCGATATCTTCGACATCAGCGCCGACGCCGAAAACGAGAGCACGCAAGGCCACGTTTCTCTACAAGGTCCAGAAGAAGAACGGGTTGAAGAGGAAGATGGCCGCGGAGATGGGGCGCAGCGTGAGGCGACAGGCAAAGGAGGAGAACACGCTGGAGGACATCGACGCGCGGATCCTCAAGCTGGAGACGGACAGGAACAACCTGGTGGAGCTGATCGTCTCTCTCCTGCCCTCCCGCCAGCGGGGCTCGGAGGAGGCGCAGACCAGGGTGGCGCTCGCCCTGGCGCCCCGATAGTGGGGTGCCGTGGCGGGCGGCTCGCAGAGCGACGCTGAGCTGGCATCGGCCCGCGTGCGGCGCTCTCTGGCTCTGGGGTGCTAGGCATAGGTCTGGCGCCCTCCAGTGGCTTGGCATAGGCTGGGCCTCCGGCGGTTGTGATTGCTGGGCATAGGCTCGGCGTCTGCCTTGCGCGGCGGGGGCGTCCTAGACGGACGTCCGCTTCATCAGACCCCCCCTCCTCTTCCTCCTCCTCCTCCTCCTCCTCCTCTTCCTCCTCCTCCTCCTCCTCCTCCACAATTACTCAATATGAATACTACTCTCCCTCTTCCCCTGATGGCGTGCTGGGAGTAGTAGACCCCCCCACGCGTACTGTTTTTTCACACAGGATTCCCGGGAGTTGGGTTTTCGCATGCGTTTTTGTTTTTTTTGTTTGTTTTCAAAATGCTGCTCTCGCTGAGGCGCCGGCTTCATTTCTGCTCCCGAATCGTTCCGAATCGTGCTCCCGCTGCAGCGTGGGCCTCATTTTCGGATCGGCGTTTTGTTTCCGTCGTTCAGGATGGCGTTCTCGCCCCAGCGCGGGCCTCTTTCTCGCGCGCCCATCCGCCCGCCACCACCGCGCCGCACCACGCCCCGCCCCGCCGCACGCACACCCACCGCCACTTCCACCCACCAACGCACGCACGCACGCACGCGCGCCACCGCCGCGCACCGCCACCACCACCGCATTACCCCACCCACCACCACCACGCTACACCGCGTCACACCACGTCACACGCGCGCACACACAGACACACGCACGCACGCACGCACGCACGCACGCACGCACGCACGCACGCACGCACGCACGCACGCACGCACGCGCACACACACACAAACAAACGCACACACACACCACCGCCACCACCACCACCGCCATCACGCACGTACGCACCTGGCCCACCACCAAACCACCAAGACGCCACACCACGTCACACCACAGCACACGCGTACACACGCACACACAGACACACACATACACCACCACCACAACAACCACAACCACGCACACACGCACGCACGCACGCTCACCACCACCCACTACGCACACGCGCGCGGAGCCACAGGTCCGCTACGACACGCGTCCGCGGATAGAGAAAATCCGCGCCATGGTAAGGGATGGGAGGGAGGGGTAGGATGTCAGATGTAGACGCGAGCGCACCTAACTTGTTCCCCCCATCCCCCTCTTCCTCCTCCCTCCTCCTTCCTTCCTCCTCCCTCCTCCTTCCTCCCGCCTCCCTCCCTCCTCCCTCCCTCCGCCCTCCGCCCTCTGCCCTCTGCCCTCCACCCTCCGCCCTCCTCCTCCTCCTCCGCCGCCGCCGCCGCCTCCTCCTCCTCCTCCTCCTCCTCCTCCTCAGGGTTGCGTCCAGGGCCCGCTATTCTCGGGGCCCGTGCTCCCCTCTGCGAGAGGTTCCGCGCCAAGCGGCGGCAGCATCGCCTCGAGCGGGCCGCACTGCTCTGGGAGGCCCACCGCGGGCCGCCCGAGGCCGCGGCGGCCGCGAAGGAGCCGGGCGTGGCGCAGCGAAGAGGAGGAAGATGAGGAAGAGGAGGAGGAGGAGGAGGAGGAGGAGGAGGAGGAGGAAAGGGAGGAAAGGGAGGAACGGGAGGAACGGGAGGAAAGGGAGGAAAGGGAGGAAAGGGAGGAAAGGGAGGAGGAGGAGGAGGAGGGGAGGAGGAGGAGGAGGAGGAGGGGAGGATGGAGGACGAGGCGGAGGCGGAGGAGGAGGAGGAGGAGAGGAGGAGGAGGAGGAGAGGAGGAGGAGGAGGAGGAGGAGCAGAGGAGGAGGAGGGAGGTGGAGGAGGTGGAGGAGGAGGAGGAGGAGAAGAGGAGGAGTAGGAGGAGAGGAGAAGAGGCGGTGGAGGAGGAGGAGGAGTAGGGAGGAGGTGGAGGAGGAGGAGGGGGAAGATGAGGGGGCGGGGGAGGGGGAGGGGGGAGGGGGAGGGGAGGGGGAGAAGGAGGGGGAGAAGGAGGGGGAGGGGGAGGGGGGAGGGGGAGGGGGGCGGGGAGGGGAGGGGGAGGGGGAGGGGGAGGGGTAGGGGGCGGGGGGAGGGGGAGTGGGGAGGGGAGGAGTAGGAGGAGGCGGAGGAGGAGGAGGAGGAGGAGGAGGAGGAGAGGATGAGGAGGAGGAGGAGGAGGAGGTCCCCCCCGAGAGCGTGGTTGGAGCGCCCGAGCGGCGGCCAGCTGCGGGCCCGCGGCCGCCAGGGAGCTGGACGGCACGTGGGTGCCGTTCGCCGAATGGGCGTGGCGCAGACCCCCTCGGATCATGAAAACATGGCGTGAGGTTTGTCGCTGTTTTCCGCCTCTCGGGGCCCTCGCGGGGCCTCGTGTGAGGTTTTTGTTCACTGCTTGCGGCCCCTCGGGGCCCTCACCGGGCCTCGGGGCCGTCAAAAAACGACTCGGGACGAGGAGCCGCTCCCAGGGCAGGGGTCGAGACTTCTGGAGGTCGACGTCATCGAAAAATCATGACGTCGGGGTCGGTGAAGAAAGGTGCGCTTTTTGCACCGTGGAGGCCCCAGGAGTTCTAAAGGAGCATGGAAGGTGCACGTTTCCTCGCTCACCCCTGAGATCCTGGCGTTGCATTTTTTTCGAGACAGGCGTGTTCGCTCAATGTCGGGCCCCAGGACCCTCACATATCGATCCCGCTCGAAGCATGATGCGGAAAGATTGGGCGCGTTGGTCGTGGTTTTTGTTCGCGAGGTTGCAACTATTGCTGCAACGTCGGATCTCCGGGAATGGGGGATGGGGTGAAGCATGGCGCGCTTTTTGCGCCCTGAAGGTGGGCACTCGGAGGGTCAGAACTGCACGCGTCTTCGCCCCTCCCGTTCCCACACTCCCGGCGTCATGGTCTGTTTGTTCATCACGTGGACCCCCGGAGGTCTGGACCCCCCTCCCTGCAGGCCTGGCCTTTCGTCCTGCGCCGTTTTGCGGCGGCCCCGAGGCCCAGGAAGGGCCCCCCTGTGGAGGCCGAGAGTGCCGCAAGACCTCCCGCTGTGGTTCTGCCCGTGGCTCGCGGGAATCCGGGCCCCGGGGCCCCCGGGCAGGAACGGCTTCGCTTCCCCCCCCCTCCCGTGTTTCTATGTCTCCTAGATGGGGTCGGAGCAGACGGGGTCGGAGGATCGAGCCGCATCGCCGATGCATCGTTGATGCGGCTCGATGTGGGGCCCGATTTGCTTCACGTCGACATCGCCGATGCATCGCCGACGTCGACGATGCATCACCGGTGCATCGCCGATGCATCGGCGATGCGGCGCAATCCTCCGAACCCACCTACTCCGACCCCATCTAGGAGGCCTCTAGTTTTTCGCCCCGCCTATTGCCCTGAGATCCGACGCAGCGGGAAAAGTCACGACCAGAGCCTCGGGCCCCGTCTCTCCGCTCCGTCCTTCGAGGGGGATCGATCTGGGAGGGTCCCCAGGCGGGGCCCGAAATCGGGCGAAGTCGCCCAGTTCGAGAAAGTTGGGATGCCAAGATCTCACAGTTTCTCGGCCCCCACTCATCAGCGGGTGGAGCAACGCCTAACGCAGGTCGCCGTCGGGAACGCGTGCCCCAGGGCGGCTGGCACGCTCATACCCCTACGGTGGCACGCCAGGGCAGGAATTTGCCCAGCGTCCTGGAGCAGACGTCCCCGACGGCGGAACAGCTCATTATGTACCGTTGATGTTGGCCCGCCGAACTAAGAGCTCAGCCGCGCGCAGCGGGGGGGGGGGCTCCTCTGAATCACCCCTGCTCGGCGCGGGCAGTATCTAGAAATGTAGGGCCAGCGCCTCCTACGAAGCAGCCTCCTTCCAAGAAGCGCTCCCCCCTAGTATCCCCTTCCCGAACCTCTGACGTCATGTGTTTTTCGTGACGTGGGCCCCCCAGCGCTCTGGGCCCCTTCCTGGGGACCGGCTCTTCACTCGGAATCGTTTTTTTGACGGCCCTGAGGCCCAGCAAGGGCCCCTGGACGCCCGAAACACAACAAAAATGGTCCGTCATGGTTTTTTCAGGACGCGAGCCCAGACATGCGACGTCCTGATGTTTTCGGTGCGGCGTCCCCGGCAGTCCAGACCCTTTCCCCGGGGCCGGTGTTTCATCCTATGAGTCGTTCTTCGACGGTCCCATGGCCCGGCGAGGGCCCCTCGGGGCCGACAATGGCGAAGAAATTGCCGTTATGATTCTTTTACGACGCGATCATGTCTGGGAGGGACGTTGGGCGAAACTGCTTTTGGACGGGGAGCCCGTGGGATCCAGAGCCCAGGGGAGACCGTGCAAAAGGTGGACGGGCTGATACCAGATCACGCCATCATGTACAATTCAACACTATGGGTGCCAAGCCGCCGATCGGCGCGTGTGAGAAGCAGGCTGGAGGCCGCGTGCCCGCAGCCCTCCATGGGCGCGGGGGTGGACTCCCGCACGCCGCTCTATCTTTCTCTCCCTCTCTCTCTCATGTCTGGGAGGGGGTCTGGCCCGTGCGCGCCACCAAACTCGGCCACGCCCGACGAAGGAGGCCCTGCGCGGCGCCGCGGCCGCCGCCGAGGCGCGGCTGCAGGCGCTGCGCGGCGGGCCGCCGGGGCTCCCGGGCGCCCCGGCGCCCGCGGCGGAGGCGGAGCCGCTGGCCGCCCGGGTGCTGGAGCTCCTCTTCTTGCTCCTCCTCCTCCTCCTCCTCCTCCTCCTCCTCCTGCTCCTGCTCCTCCTTCTCCTCCTGCTCCTCCTCCTCCTCCTGCTCCTCCGCCTCCGCCTCTTCCTCTTCCTCCTTCTCCTCCTCCTCCTCCTCCTCCTGCTTCTCCTCCTCCTCCTCCTCCTCCTGCTCCTGCTCCTCCTCCCTCTGCTCCTGCTGCTCCTCCTCCTGCTCCTGCTCCATTCCTTCCCCCAGGCCAGTTTTTAGGGCGGGCCGGGCGTTTCGCCTGAGATTTCCTCACCATTTATGATTTTGGAGCTTAAGATTGACAACAGCTTCACAGATGGAGGGGGTGGTTTTCAAAGTGTGGCTCTCGCCTTAGCGCCGCACACATTCGTTAAAACAATTCAGGAGCTTCACGGATTGAGGGCGGGTGGTTTTCAAAATGTGACTCTCGCCTTAGCGCCGCGCGCATTCGGTTTGAAATTTGCAAGGGCTTCACGGATTGAGGGCGGGTGGTTTTCAAAATGCGGTTCTCGTTTTAGCGTTGCGCGCATTCGTTTAACAATTTGCAAAGGATTCACGGATTGAGGCAGGTCGTTTTCAAAGTGTGGTTTTCGCCTGAGCGCCGCGCATATTCGTTTAACCATTTGCATGAGCTTCACGGATTGAGGGCGGGTCGTTTTCAAAATGTGGTTATCGTTTCAGCGCTGCGCACATTCGTTTGAACAAATTGCAAGAGATTCACGGATTGAGAACGATTCCTTTTCAACATATGGTTCTCGCAGTAGCGTCGCGCACATTGAAAACAAGAAAAGAGATCAACGTACCAGAGATATTGATTCGGAAGGATTCAGGATTATGCGGGCGCGACAGTTCTGTTGATTCGCTGCGTTCATGTTCCAAAGATGGCATTCCGGCACGATTCTGGATCGTCCAGACGCAGTTGGTACGTGGCGTTGAAACCCCGAGAACAATGTTTTGGCACGCTTCAGGATCTTCAAACAGCTGTCGTCCAACGAGGCAGTTCCCTCAATGGAAATGAACCGGGCCTATGAAGAGGGAGCTTGGAGGGAGGATGAGTTTCAACATCGTTGATGATTCTTGGGTTTCCACTGGTCCTCCTCCTCCTCCTTCTGCTCCTCCTCCTGCTCCTCCTCCTGCTCCTCCTCCTCCTCCTGCTCCTCCTCCTCCTCCTCCTGCTCCTGCTCCTTCTCCTCCTCCTGCTCCTTCTCCTCCTCCTCCTTTTCCTCCTCCTCCTCCTCCTCCTCCTCCTCCTCTTTCTCCTCGTCAGGGGCATCTGACAGTCGACTGCGCGTAAAATCAAAGAAATCAAAACGGCATGAACATGAGCTTTTGGCGCTCCGCGCGGCTTTCCTGGATCCGCGCCTCCTGTGGCCCCCCCGGCGGCGCCTCCAGCGCCGCCCCTGGCGCGGTCCAGCGCCGATCCGAGAAATCCGCGCGGACCTCCGAGTTTTTACGTTCATGTCACCGTCCGTTCCCCTTATGACAGTCGATTACACGCGCAAAAATGACTTTTCGCCGGAGTCACCTCTGGTGTGGGCTCACCGAGGTCCCCCCGATCGGTGAGCGCGATGCGACAGTGGCTGCTTGCGCGCTGGGGTTTGGCCACCTGGCGCCCCCTTTACTCCACGCCCGAAAGGTCACTCGTGCCTAGGGTCACACTCGCGTGTAGTCGATCGTGTAACGTGTCTTGTCCGGAGGATTTTCCATGTTTTCGGGCTCTCGGGGCCCTCCTCGGGCCCCTGGACTGTCAGGAAACAGTTCAGGATGAAGGCCCCAGGGTCCAGGTCCAGGACCCGCTTCCCTCAGGGCCCGCTCACCCCATGCTAAGCGATAGGTCGTCATGGGAGAAACGGGTCCTGAGGAAATCGGGTGCGGGGGGTGCCCACTGCGCTCACAGGCCCCAAGGCCTCCACGCCGAACACCGGCGCGGCTCAGTCAGTAGATCTGGCGCCCCGCAGAAAATAGTTGCATCATAGTGTTTTGTCAGTCGCAGTGCCCAGATTCAGGGGCTGCGGTTGGTCGCCCTGGGGGGAGCGGGTCTTGAGGGAATCGGGGGCCAATTTATGGCGGACCATTTTGTTTGCGGGGGTGGTGCACAGGCATCGTGTTCCCAGTGGTTGATGCCTTTGTTGTACACAAGCCCCGCTCGGCGGAGCCAGACCAGTTTGTTTGTGGGGGTTGTGTAAAAGAAATCGTGTCCCCTGGAAAACGGATCATGAGTTTTTCGCCGTTTTCTAGCTTTGGGGGCCCTCCACAGGCCCCGAGACTGTCAGAAAACGCCTCAGGATGAAAATATCGTCCTGGGGGAAGGCCCTGGGGTACAGGATGTGATTTCCGCTCACTCCCCGATCCATTCCTGTCCCTGCTCTTGCTGCTCTCACCCTTTTTCCCGCTGCCTGTTTCGGTTCGAAATTTATACTGGGGCCCTTGGCCTTAGAGCTACGCAGATTGATTCGCCGCGCGATCATTCGACAAAACGATATCAGCGATATCCGACCCTGCGGGTCTTCCATATCACAGTGGTAGATTGGAGCGAGGCTCGCTGCCCCGGCCTTCGGGCCTTGCATATTCCACGACGACGTCTGCGACTCGTCTGCCCACGGAATCGACGGCCAGCGCCGTCCAGCTCTGCCGCCGCGCAGCGTTCATCTTCACATTCGTGATCAGCGCCGTCAGCGACAGCGCAGAGCCCAACGCCTATATCCCCTGCCAGCTCTCTGCCTCGGCAAGCGCCGACATCCCGAACACTTTCTCCCACGCCAGCGTCTGCGACGCCAGCGCCTACCCCTACGAGTTCAGCGACAGCGTCAGCGACGCCAGCACCTGCCTCTACAAGTTCAACACCATCTGCGACAGCACCAGTGACGTCAGCGACTTCACCGGAAGCCTACCCTCAAAATCGGCAAGCGCCGAGATCCCCTACAGCCTATCTCCCACATCGGCAAGCGCCGACATCTTCAGCATCAGCGCCGTCAGCGACAGCGACAAGCCCAACGCCTACATCCCCTACCAGCTCATCGACACGGCAGGCGCCGACATCGATTACGGCATCGAGGTTGATTTCAATTTCATTTCGTATTTTGGTACTCTTTACAGTTCATTCGTAGACAAAATGACGGAGTTCAATCATAACCAGTCAGTGATACCAAGCTGGAATGGAGATCCAGCGAAGTGGCGAGATTACAAGCAAGAAGTTAAATTGTGGAAGCTCAGCGAGAACCTGGAAGTGGTACAAAGCTTGGCATCGAAGTTAGTCTTGAGGCTGACGGGTACCGCCAGATCGGCTGCACTCAACATGACGGAGCAGGAACTCCACCCGCCGCCGGACGCCGACATTGAGGAGGCAAACGAGAAGAAGCGCGATCGGAACCAGAAGGGCATCGAGCATGTGCTGAAGCATCTCGAGACAAATCTAGGCCAGCAGAAGCCGGTACAGAAGGGAGAGACGCTAGAGAAGTTTTTCGAGTCGACTCAGCATCATCGCCGCCGTGGAGAACGCATGACGGACTGGCTCGTGCGATTCGAAGCGGGATTACAACAACTACGCGAGAACGAGGTTGACCTCACGACGCTTGACGACGTGGCCGGCTGGTTCCTGCTGCGCAAGGCAGGGCTCACGGCCGAGCGCCGTGAGCGCGTCGTAGGCAACTTGCCGGACGAGCATTACTCATTTCAGCGCATCAGGGGCCTGCTGGTGCGCATGTTTCCTGATATCCATGCGTCGGAACGGCATGCCAGCTTGCCGTCACGACCGTGGCCGCAGCGATCAAACAGTAGTTGGCAGCGCTCATCGCCAAGCCGAGCGCGTTCAGCCAACGTCGTCGACGAGCCAGAGGACGAGCACGAGGACTCGGAGGACGGCGACGACAACGACACGGAGGCAGACGTCCAGGACATCGCGCGTCAGGAGCTCAAGGCTTTCAGCGCCGAGCTGGAGCAGTCCAACTACGACCTCGGCGAGGTGTTCGACAGGGGCGACTCTGCCAAGGTGGAGGCCGCCGCGGCGGAGCTCGCCGCGATTCCCGAAGCCATGGCGACCATGCGGTCGGCCCGGGAGGCCATCAAGGGCCGCGGGGAGGCTTCGCCCAAGCGCCGACCCGCGGGCAAGCTACAGGGCCGCGTGGACCAGCGCAGGAAGAGCTCCAAGTGCTGGGACTGCGGCGAGGCGGGGCACTGGACCGGTGACAAGGAGTGCCCGACGCCGGGCGCTCGGAAGTTCGCCCCGAATGCCAAGCAGAAGGGCGGAGGACGAGGCGGCGGAGGTCGCTCGCACCGCCAGGCCAACATCACCGAGCAGGTCCACGATCAGAACCACGTGGAGTTCGGCGACGAGGAGGTGATTCTTCATCCAGAAGGTCCGGTCACTCCGCCACCCGAGACCCTGGTCTCCGAGCGCGCGGTGCCGGACTTGCCCACCGTAAACGCCACCAACGCCGGCGAGAAGCCCAACGACGACGGCGTCGGCGTGATCGACACTGCCTGCCTGTTCTGCGTTGGCGGGCTCAGCTGGCACAAGCAGTGCAAGGAGAAGCTCGCCAAGATGGGTCAGGCCGACCAGATCCTGGAGGGGCCCGAGAACGAAGTCTACAGGTTCGGGAACGGCGGCGCGCTCCCGAGCAAGCTGCGCGTCACAGCCCCACTCGTGCTGTGCGGACGCGCTGGCCGCATAGTTTTCAGCGTCGTGGATAGCCCCACGCTCGGCCTGCTTATCGGCCGGGACTTCATCCAGCCGAGCAAGATCGACATCTCGCTCTGGAGGGAGCAGATCCGCATCGGGAACCATTCCCAGCAGCTCATCACGAGCAGCGCGGGACATCCCGCGATCGACCTCCACCCGGAGGACTGGCTCGCCATCAAGGGCGCGGGCCATGAGTTCGGACCGAAGGCTGTCGGT